AAAGACCTTTCCACACTTCAAATTGCTACACCATCAAGTTCACTGTGCATTTGCCAGTAGATTTATTCCATTAAGTCTCTTTGGAACTTTGTTTTAACGTAATTAAATACAAAAACGTTCCAAAAGGGCTCGATTCATGAAAGCCTTTCCCATATAATACAGCTTTCATTCTATTACCAGGAAGAATTATGGGGGCTGAAGAAGAAGCATAACTGTAGGCAAGGTGAAGCAGGACGCTCTGAGGAAGAAGGAAGGTACACATTGAAATGTGGTTAATTTTGATGGTATATCCGACTTGGTGGGCCCTGCAGTGTCTGTGGGATAGGCTATTCTTTTACGTTCTTTTGAAATAGGACTTTCTTCCATTTGACTGACTCACTCGTTCTAGCTGTCAATCGGAAAGAAGGTCTTCCTGCATTTCTTCCCGCTACGCCGTGTTTTTGTCTTGAACGTAGTTGTTATTTGGCATTCAGCAAACGAACATCTCCTGCTACAGTACACCACGCAAGCACACAAGGCAAGCAGGCTGGTGGTGTGTCTTGGGGGTGCTGTGAAGTGAGTGGATGGTTTGGGTGCAACCGACGTTGCGTTTATTCTACTGTTATTGAAAAAGCCATACCTTATCGTATATCAATCAGTGAAATGGCCCAACAGCAAGTAATCTAGGGTGTATGATGGATTTCATTGCAGCAAACGACAGTCTCCAAGGCTCAATGCTTCTCGAAGATCTTAGTTTTCACCACAACTTTGCATCGCCACTCGATGTAGGTGTAAACCGGCTGAATCATTACTACTTTCACCAATCGCCGCTAAAAGCCGTTCCTGATGCTTTAACCACAAATTTGCGTGTTGTCTGTCGAAGTCGGATAGTTTTCCTTAACTTGATTTTACCTTTGGGATCATTGAAGGTGTTCAGTAAATTCACTTCTCGATGAAGCTCTGCCATCTTACTTTCTCTCAATGCTATGCACCAAGTTTGAGGGGAATCTGCATTCAGCTGCTCTAACAGACAAACTTGTACTTCATCCACCATTTCCAATCATCATTTACTTGATGTGCATGTTCAGTATAAAAGGGCAAAACAATAAATTGTCACGATAGACTAATGGACAGTGTTACAATCTGTTGTGCATATCAGCTTTTCCAGCCGATTGACCAGAGAGATACAGACTTCAAAGCAGAGGCGCGTGTAGGCGTCTGGTGGATGGAGGGCTAAAGTACAACAGTCGTCACCACCCTCGTGTACTTTTAGCTCTTTTTCGTAAGCTGACTTGGCTCTATTCTGAAAGGATTTTCTGTACCCGAATTGACTGGATTCCATCCTGTCCACCAACTAGACAATCAACGAGTAAGGTTGCAGGACAGATGGCCTGCAGGCCATGCCAGTAGGCCCTAGCATTATGACATCTTCTTACTTCAGAGAAGACTCGTTCTTTGTAGTGCTTCCACTCCGGGGAATGACTGTCAGGTCATACTAATAGACCCCCAGGTCTTCTGAACTTTTGTAAGTAGTATGTCCTTCCATGCCACCTTAACTCGTTGCGGTTTTAGCAGCATATTTAGTTAGTCCTAATTAAAATAATTTGTAGACTCGATGGAGAGTTTATTACTTTCTTTGGTAAGCCATTTATCTAGAACAATTTACTAAGTTATCGCATTCTCAAGTAAGTTACCCTTTCCTCTTTTCCAATACTTCCCGTTGGAATATTGCCTCTAGGCAACCACACATTTATTCAGCCGTTGTAACTTACATAGACAAGGTCATGGAATTTCTAAGATTCATTTAATTCCAGCAAACTGCTTATTCAATTTTTTTGTTTCGTTATTCGATCAAATATACGTTGCTGTTTCAAAGGTGGCGTGAATTTTTTCACTAATCAAGCATTAATACTTATTTAGCTCTAGAATCATGGTGTGGGGCTAGAAAATCAGAGTTCTTTGAAAGAGATAAAATTTTATTACTTTATGAATCATTTTGCATTAGCTACACAGAACTAATACCACAACTCATCCTCTCTTTCCACCGCGAATAAGTCGTCTACCAAATGCTGAGCGCGCGGAGAAGGTGTATTTATCACTCTTTAAACTTTCTCTGCAGCTTGGCCTTATCTTCAAAAGCACATGTGACTTCGGCACCCCTACTTTTGAAAGTCACCTTAGGTTCAGGTATCCAAAGTGGACGCCCTACTCCTGTCAACGCATTCAATGCATTCGTTCATGCTAACCGATTTTGCTTGGCTAATTTTTCCATACCACGGAAACAAATGCATGTAGTTCTTTAAAATACCTGGCTCTTAACTGATATTTATTAGTAAGAAGTGTATTTTTTGGCCCAGGCCTTTCCCTTTTGCAAATAAACCCATCTTTCATTACTGAAGCACATAGCATGCAAACAAAGTGTCTAACATCCCTTCCAGGTATGACGGTCAAATCTTAAGCAATACTGAAGTGCTTCGAGTCTTTCCTGTGCGGAGGGACTGAGTTGATGTGGGTATGACCCAAAAATGTAAATGAGGAGCCACAGTTGTTCGTGTAACAGCAATGAAGAGTTAAACAGCCAGTCAAAGTATTACAACACCCATTCCTAACCAACTAAATGGAGGTTCTTCGGTAGGCAGTGGAGGGCACCTCGATGTAGGCAGAAGGCAAGGCCTATATTGTGCTCTACCACGTCTTCACCTCTTCTAAATGTACAAGTAAATAAGACTAGCTAGACTTGGCAGACCCTCTGAATGTGGTGTTGGTTCGAACACAGACACTTCACACACTGCCATGTTGCACTAGCTGCACCGAGGTCATTAGGTCGCTACCCTGATCTCACAAATTTTGCCTAAGCATACACCGCTAGCCTAGTCATCTAGGTATTTGAAATTCACATCAGTCGAAAGTACTTTAGTGGAAAGGAAAGTGTGCCTTTACAGCAATGGCCCCCTCCATTAATGCCAGGCGAATTGTCCTGCTCTTGACCGGGGGGTGAGAGGGTGGCATGGGGAGGGTAGAGCGTTGGGACAGCAAATAAAAATGGAAAATGCATATAAGCACTAATAAAAATAGACTCTACCGCGTGGTGGCTGATGATGCTATGTCCTAAGAGTGGAGTAAAGTTACGTCTTTTCAAATAAAGTCGAAATAAATTTGATGAGATCTCTGGGGATAAGTGTAGCAGGTTTAGTAATCCAATCTCCCCACCTCAACCTTCCCACACTCTGATTCAGCAGATTGGTTAAATGTGGACACCTAATATAAAAGTGTACAGGGGATCAAGTTTATGTGGGTCGGGAGTTCGTTTTCTCCCCAGGGGCTAATGGTGTCAGCTCAGTTACCAGCTTCGCATCATACTGACCGCTTCTCATCTACAAGGCAAATTTAAACAATAAGGTAATCTTGTAGACATTTTCAGAATGGTACTGTAAAATTCCCATAATTTTAAAATGGATTTTGAATGATCAATCAAGGAAAGATTTTTTACCAGCAATCATCTAAATTGACGTTTCGTCCGCTCCCTGAAAGTCCACTGGAAGTTTTAATTCCCCCTCCATCCTCATTCACTTTTCATTGCCTCGAGCATTTCTGGTAAAGCTTGGGTTTGGAGAGCCACTAACTTTCCCAATCTTTGTTTTATTGCTGGCTACTATTATTAGCTTTTTCGCCTCGAGACAAACTTATCCAAAGAGACAAAAGTCCATTTTAAACGTGCCTTTCGTTTGAAACGCCTCAGACCACTCGGAGGTAATTATGTGTCCTTTTTGAGATTTGAAGAGACCTAATGTTACGCAAACTCGCATTTACATTTCTCTACTTTAATCTCAGTTTAGGCCGTCCAGTTAATGGTGCTGGCTCTTTGACTCCTGCAGTTTAATTTACCCACTTGGTGAACCAACCTTTTTTGCTACAATTTTAATAAATTTTCTACTCGAACACACGCAATGTATAGTCTTCAGACAGAACTCAGGCACAACATTGGTGATCGTGGAGGTTGACCTTTCTTGGCATCACATATAGCATTAAAACGAAGGTTTATAACATGTCTGGGAAGATTTTATGCATAAAAGTGCGTTTCCAGTAGGCGATTAAAAGGCAAATGGACGACTCGGTAGCAGTGAAATGAGAACAAGATGGCAAAGAGGACATGACGCTTGATATCACCCTTAATATATATATTAGGGCGAATTTCCTACTAAAGGTGATGCAGCACAAAATGTCTCTTAGTGTAGAGCCTCGACACAACACTGTGAATTTGACTGAAGTAACGTAGATGTGAAGAGCTAGGAGATGTATCACTGATACGTCGTAACTTTCCGCCCGTGTCACGGTAGATATGGCAGTTGTAGATCTCGGCTATAGAGGGCCTTTTGCTAGGCAATTCGGCTAGCAACCGTTTCAGCAAGTCTTCACAAGACTTTTGAGGCTAGTAGGGTGCCCTGACATGGTCTTGTCTATTGAAAGCCAACACACCACAGGCTGGGACGCAGTGGATTACACTAAGGCTTTGAATATCCTCAAACACCCTAGGTAGGGCTCACTCCTGAAGATCTCCGGTGCCGCAACACCACTTGGTTAGCAGAAGATAGGGTCCACTAACATCTAAAAGCACTCGAATCCAAAGTCAGCCAATGTAATGAACATGTACTGATCCAAAAGCACATTATCCGCCTTTAAATTTAAGCCGAAATATTAATCCTTGGATTTGAATTCTTTCTCAGAAATCTGGGCTTTCTTGATAGCAGGAACACCCCTTGCCTACTTAATCACAAATTGTATGCTTTTGCACGTAGTCGAAGTAGATTTGTGGCTATTAGTTTCAACACCTATGTCGCATATTCGAGATGCTTTGAATTCCTATCTGATTCCTGTGCCACAAATTAGAATTTATAATTACTGAAACCTGACTTTCAAAGCCATAAAACGCATGGCAGATGCTCTTGATTTTGGACTATTTAGCGTGCTGCCTTACCTTTTAAGCAGCAGGTAGGACTAGTGATGGTACTGTCTTTGAACAGCGAAACATGTCCACTCTGCAGGTCTACCTCTACTGGTCCAGGTTCCGGTAGCGAGTGCATCAATGTTGCAATTGTGCCTGTCCAAGAATAGACGATCCAAGCTATTTTTCCAACTTCAAGACCAGACAGTAAGCGTTCGGAGTTCATTTTATTTAACAAAAAATTGATATAAAAATGGCTTCAGCAGGTGGGCTGGACAGGCGAATAAACTTGTAATGTTCAGAAGGAGAAACAAATACAATGTTTGCTTCTCAGGAATAATAAAGGCTTGCATGATCATTAACTACAGGAATAACACACACACATATAAGCATGGAGACATTCAGCGATCATTTGTTAATAAGCTTGTAACAGAATCAACATCCCAGTGGAGTTTGAAATGGGGAATCGCTCTTTTTCTAGCAGTTCCTACAAGATCTGCTTAAGAGGTGCTGTCAACCCTGTAGCCTGAAATAAAATCGTGAATAAGGCTGACGCTATCAAACAGAGTGTCAGCTCACTGGATACCATTCTTAACATGGGTCATGTTTAATTTGGATCAATCCAGCCGGACGAAAATAAATCCGTTGTAATAAGTCTATTCATGATTTACTGTAAAGAAATGGAAAACTTAGGGAATCCTTCCAGTTCCCCACTTTCCGATCTCAAGCTTCGAAGAAGGCCGTTTAACTGTTGCACAAAGTGGCTAAAACTGTATTGGAGGAATTGTTTGGTTTCCATCCACATTAGGGAACCAAGTAAGTTAGCAGAATGAATAGCCTCCAAAAACTTGTTGGATTGTCGTATTTATCGGAATGCCCAGTCATTGTATTTAGCTTCACCAATAATAGTGTGAACCCTTCAAGACACCCAACATCGAATTTTTAGAAGACTAATTCAACCAACTGTGAGCTGCACATAGGACTCACTCGGTGTGGAATATCATTTGCCCTAAAGCAATACCTATAAATGTATGCCCTCAAGATTCTTTGCTAAGGTGGGTCACTAAGGTTGATCCTGAAAGAGAGTGGTAAGAAACGTTCTTTTTGTGTTGATAAACCACTCCATGGTCTTCACCCTTATGCAAATCGGCTCGGACGAGTGGTTACGAGAAGTGCCAAGATCACCGCGTTATGAACGGTGGAGCCTTATAGGAACAGGTGCTTAAGACCTCGTAGTTTTTCAGCGAAGGTGGTGACATTGAGCACCAATTATGCATATACACAGAAACTTTTGTGTATGAAACCCATGCGAACTGAAGAGATGTCCCAAGTTGATCGAAAGTCATCATATGTTTTCATCCCTTCGTTAATTTTGGATAAGTTAAAGCTGTGATTTTCAAGTAACAGCAATTACTTGTTACTGGTAATGAGGCTAACTTGAGATTGAAAAAAGAGAAGTTGCTCTTTTCTAAGTAATAAATGAATGTAGGTGTATGATTCACGTATTTATTATTCTGAACCACACTAAAATAGCACGAAAGAAATGGTGTTTAATGCTGAAGGAATGGAAAATTCGCTTTTGATTAAGCCATATTTACAAACCAATTTAAACTGTTTCGTGCCAAGTAGCTGCAGCCAAAGAAACTACTTCAACTAGCTTAGAAAGATCAGCTAAACGTCCTTTAGAAAATGAGGTAAAGTGATAAAAAATAATACAATGTGGGCATTCAAAGAAATCTTGGGTAATTTTCAAAATACCCAATAGTCTTAAACGCATCATACTGAAATAATCTATACGATGGAAACAAGCAAAGATATATGTCAGACTAACATCACGATGAAATATGAAAATAGTTGGTAACAGCGATTTTGATAGCAACAATAATAATAGGTAATGAAAGAAGGGTCTCAGACGGGACCTGTGATTGGCTCGATTAGCACCTCGTTAATAGCGGTGCCTTTCGGCTGGGAGACGGCAAACAATACTGCCTCGACAACCTGCTGGGGTTTTAGCATCGCCTCCCATGCCTTTTGACATTCTTCAGGAGGTCGGTTAAGCGGGGAAAACAGCTGGGCCGCCTAAAAATATGAAAAGTCAAGATAGCACCCTAATTTGCTATCTTAGTAAGGGAATATTTTCGTTTTAAGTCAAAAGTAGGCCCTTCAAACCAAAATATTTCTAAGTTAAGACTACAAATACATCTATTTTAAAGAAGGGCTTCAAACCTCAGTATCAGTGGTCCACTGCTGTGCCGGAGTTGCGACGTCACCAGGTTGTATTGAGGTGATAACGATTTCGTTGGGCTTGGACTCCAAACGAAGTGAGCGTAGAAACCCTTCAACAAAAAACTTGGTTCCACAGTAGACAGCTAGACCGGGGAAAGGCACTCGACCCGCATCCGAACTAATGACGACGATGTTGCCAGTTAGATTTTTGCTACGCATTTCGGCAAAAACTGATCCAACAACATCAACTAGACCCTAACACCAATAAACAATACATTTTGCTTAAAGTTTTAATAACTGAAAACAGACTGTTTTTTATTTACCTGGCAGTTGGTGGCGATCATTGTCCACCATTCATCGAATAACTTATTTGTTATAAGGGAGTATGCAAAGATATCAGAAGCATAAACAAGGATATCAATCCTCCCAAACTCAGCAAAAATACTGCATAACGTTTTTTGAACCTTTTGAAGTAGTTAGAGCAATTGCTATACCTCTTCGTGGTTGGTAACGTCCAAATGCTTTGCAACCGCATTACTTCCGATTTCTTTTGTAAGGGCTTCTAGTAAATGCATTCTTCTGGCACACACTATTATTTTGGCCCCTTCTTGCCCAAATCGCAAGGCAATAGCTCTGCCAATCCCTGCGCTAGCACCAACAACGACGCAAACTTTGCTATCCAGTGCCATCCAATCCAAATCAAAATGTAACAAATTGTTGGTGACACTTAGAAGTTGATGACTGACTACTTTAAACAAATTATTTAGTGTTACATGTCTAGTAGTTGATTATATATCTGCGAAAAGCATCTAAGCAACTTAAGTGTTGCAAAGAAATTGTCCTGGTTGCGTTCTTCGCATGGTCGATACGTCACATACTTTAACCACCTTACTTAAAATGGTTCACGAATAAAATTGGATGCATACTACATCTGCTTGACAAACTATACAAAATCTTACGTGCATATTTATGGAGCATTAACTGTTACGTAAAATTATAAGAAGACGTAGCGCTGAGGGGAAGAGCATACATTATGCATATTTATGCGTAATGCTTTGTTTAACCACGAGGGTAATAACATAAGCACTCATGTAGGGCAAGCCTCATCGATCTCGACTTCTTCATTCCTAGCGTTCTTAGACAAGCCCAGCTAATTCATTTTGGACATATTTATTAAAGAGGAAACGATGGAGAGGGAAAGTACAACATTTAAGAAGGGGGAGAACCGCAGTCACTAGGTACGGGAGAGGGCGATCCGCTTACGAGGTTCGTATTTCCTAACCGCCTCCCCTTGAGAGGTACATTAAAACAACATAAGTATAACACTCAAGTACTCGCTGCTTGCAATTGTTTGTGAAAAATAATAGTAATCCTGCAACGTTTTTGAGCCCTTTTTGAAGACAAAACCTGTAACACTAGAGCAGAATGTAATGTTCAACATGCAATAAGGCTTAGGTCTACTGGGACGGCCTAAATTCCAGCCTACCTAGCGTAGGCACAATGTCGACAGTGGATCAAACGACTGACGCATTGCATATCCCCTTCCCTTTTCTTCGAGCGTCGCCTCCGGCGCTGACTTTAATCACTTTTGCTTAACAGCTTTCACAACGCGATCAATGTTATTTGGAAATAACCATCCAGCCAACGTTTCAGTCATCTATTTTCCATGCAACTAAGGCGTTATCTGACTGCAATGCCACCCATCCCTCTTGCCGATTTTGCCGATTTCGTAGTCTCGTCCTGTAAAAATGGATTCGGGGCCACAATGTGTGCTGGAAATAGCGCGTGTTTATAACTGGAGCCAAATTAAAAGTGAGGTTGATCATAGTTAAGTGGGAGAAGGATTCTGCTCCTATTCCTTTCGTTTCATTGCTTTCATTTTAGTGTTGTCTAGTCATATTTTTCTGGGTTCTATTCAGCTCTGAGATAAGTAAAGTTTGTATCGCCTTTTAACATATTTGACTTCTTCATACAGATACGGTAAGCGGCTCCATGAGGAAGTATTGCTAGATAATTTACTGTAGCGTCCTAAGACTCCCTGAAGAAAAAAAGAAGTCACAATACTAGGGCAGAGTATATATTCAGCACAGAGAAGGTGTTTGGGCTATAGACATGGCCCGAAAGGCTAGCTCACATAGCGAGGTATATGAGGGCTAATTCAAAGTACAAAATTGGCGCTCCACCAATACCGAGGGGTGAACCACTATCATATTATATAGCCTTCCTCCTCTTTTGAGCTTCATCCCCAGCACTTTCGCAGGTCAACCCTTTGGGTCAGCCATTACAATGTAGTCGGTGCTGCAAAGAATCATCCGCCATCCTACCGTGCCAGTCACCGAATTAGCGTGCAATTGAGGGGATACTTGACCTCAAGGTCACTGATCCCATTCGATGACTTAACTGGGTCTGGAGTTTCGTCTGGTTTGGGGACTTGATTCAGGATGGGGAATTGCGCTGGCCATCATGCGCGTCCGTAGATGGATGTAGGAACACTGGCCTAAAAGTAGATTTGTGTAAGGAAGGACGGGACTTAAAACAGGTCCATGGGGACAGTAGGGAAAGTCTGTAGCGAAACTTCCAGATGGTTCACGGCTAGCGTCGCTTCAGTTGTTTTTTGCTTTCTTACAGATTACGGAACTGGGAGAGATGCCGAAGATAGACGTCAACTTCAACCCTTTTATTAGGGGTCATCACCATTCTCCCATCCATGGCATATGTACTTCTTCTGCTCCACTAATGTTTATCACGCAGAAGTGAAAACAGGATACGTGCTTTTTAGGATCAAGTTTGCTTTCTGCTACCACTAATGTAGCGTCTCAAGACTCCCCGAAGACGAAAGAGAACACAATACTAGGGCAGAATAAACATATTTAGCACAGAGAAGGTGCTTGGGCTATTGGCATAGTCCAAAGGCCAGCTCACCCAGTAAGGTACAAGAAGGCTAATTCGAAAGTACAAAAGTTGCGTCTCACTAATACCGAGGGATAAGCTACCATTGTATTACATTACAGCTAGTGCTGCTTCTGTTGTTGATTACCTTTTGAGCGAATATGATGCTGGAGTTGTTGTCAAAGGTAGGCGCTAATTTTAATCCTTCTGTTATGGAGCACTGCTGATTCTCACATCTGTAGCATTTGCAATTTCTTCGGTACAGGATTTTTCACTCAGTATTAGATATCAGATTTGGTAACCATTAGGATCAGGTTTGCTTTCCACTGCCACCAACGTAACGGCCCAAGGCAGCCATGAAGCTGAAAGACGACGCAATTTTCGGGCAGAATATATATATATATATTTGGAATACAGAACTGCTTATGCAGCTGGCATGGCTCGGAGGACAGTTCACCCGGAGAGGGAAGAATTGAGTAGACCATAATCGTCTCCACGAAAAATGAGAGTTAAATAGAGTTATTGTTTTATGCATTCTTACTTCTTTTAAGGACGGGACCCAGAGGTACGGCTATAATCATTCTTCTAACTAAATACTATGTCTTACTGCGATCTTAAGCAAACGGCTGATGTGTGAAGGGTACTGCCAAAGTGCTTAAAAAAGGACGCCTGTGTCTAACAGTTATTTAGATCTGCGTCTTTAATCAAGGTCGCCAGCAAAAAGTGTTACAAAAACCGTTACTAACATAATTAAAAAAGCAAATTAATGAAGTTAAGGCACTGGATTATTAGTAAATCTGCTATGTAAAATTATAAGGCACTATTAAGGTCTAAATTGGCTGTAAAAATATTAAGCATGTCAAACAGAACAATCTTTTTCTATTGTTTGCTATTAAACATTGTACCCCATATACTCAGTTCTGTTAATACTTCTTATTTTATCGAGCGCATAATGCGAAGTACCCAATAGAGGACGTCTACACATGCGACTTAAGCTGTTGTCCCGAGGGTAGGTGTAAAATGACCCGTTTACAATCCTACACAGATTTACCTTGCTCCAAAAGGGCGTGAATAGAAGCACCTATCTTTCAGCAAGAGTTCTCGGTCTAAATGAATTTTTTGACGACCCAAAGAACTGGGGAGAGATTAGCGTCAAAGCTGGCAGACCATGGCGAGTGGACGAACTGCGCTGTAAAAATTCCGCCGATCTTCACTGCTTGTGGTACATTCTCCTCAAGGAGAGAAATATGTTGATGACAATGGAGGAGGAGCACTGGCGGCGTCTTGAACGTATGCCCAACCCGGAGCGCTTTGAAAAGGTATCGTCAGTCCTTAAAATGTATGATTTTGCACCTCCTTTGAATAGGTTGAAGAGAGCATGGAAAATATTTTGCAAGTGATTGAGGAGCGCGACAAAGCCATCTGTGAGTTAGAACGCGGTGAATGGGTGGGTCCACGAGAGGTGGATGGTGTAGACAAACTGGGTCGTCCAGTTCGACGACTGAGCGAGGAACATCTAGAACCTCAGGCAAGCACAGACGCAGAAGAGGAAATGTGGTCAGCATGGACCCTCCGTTATCTTCGTGCAGAACGCGAGAAAGAGATACGCGACCGTCGGGAACGCGACAGAGCGGAAAGATTTAAGAGCGAGTTCGATCGACGAAAGCGCATATTCAAGATATCAGATGTGGATTCATTTGAGCGTCGTCCGGCCCCAACTACGGCTCTGGCTGGGGGACAGAATGACTAGAGCTTGATACTTTTGGGATCTGTTGTACATCCACTTATTATTGGCGAAATCATCCCCTTTAGTCTTATCGGTGCTGCCTATTCGTATCCTTTGGTGAGTTTGTTCCGCAAGGTGCTGATTTGCCACAACGGTGGTTTTTGTACCCCCAGGTGAATCATCTTGCAGCGGACTCGAATTCTGGTTTGTCGTAATTAAGTGTTTTCGTGCTGTTGGAAGTACTAAAGTAATTAATCTCCGTCGTCTGACTGTTTACCCGTGGTAGTGTGCTGCAAAGAAAAGTTGTCGGTAAGTCACCCTGCACATATCGCGCCATCAGGCTGGTTTTTAAATGATGCATTAAGTCCTAGTTCATTCTTATGAGGACCCACTTTGCAAAGCTTGATCGGGCGCTAAAAACTAAACTCCCGGATAAGGACATCCACTAACGCTCTAACGGAATGTGGCTCACGCGAAGCGTCAACCGGCATTTAGTGCCCACGACAGTGGTGCGGACCTTCGTTCACGTTACGCATGCCACGAGTCTCCCATCCCTTCAATGACTTGTTGATGAAGCCATTCTCTGACCTGCGTGTTTAACATCTCCTTGAGCAACCGCGATGCAGCATTAGGGACATCGTGAAATGCCCACAATAGTACGAGTACCTTCCCCTTCCTGCGATTCGCCGGTCTTCGCGCCGATGAAGTGCAGCTCTGCTCATCCGAACCCTGTGCTACAAGTCTTCTATCTCCTCTCCATTGATAATGGACCCAAGTCGCAACCTACCGAGCGCATAACCTCAGCACGATAGAAGGCATTCAAGTGACAAACGACAATCTAAGGTAGATTTCTTACCAATATAAGAAGTAACAACGCAAATTAGCTCACATATGATGTCACGTAACATCGTTTTCGGAACGGCACTTATATCACGAACTCGAAACAGCGGTTCTCAAGCAGCGTTACTCCAAAGCTCCGGTCCCAGTTTGAGCAAGCATCCAAATGCGAGAACTTCATTCGAAGGTTTATCCTTTATGTATAATGTTTTGTGTGAAAGGCGGGTGAGCGAGCGAGTGGTTGGGTGGGACGGCGGGTGGGTTTGCGAATGTATCTCCCTTTTTCAAGAGGTAAAGGGGCGAGGATTATCGTTTCGTGGTTTAGAGAGCGAAAGAGGGCACACTCGGCCACCGCGCCACTTCACATCACGCAAGAAGTGACCAAGTGAGCGGTAGGAGATGGAGAGGGGAGAAAGAGATGGCCTAAGGAGGGTATGCGTGAATTTTCACAAAGAACAGAAAATAGGGGCGAAAAGCTCGTCAAAAGGAGGGAGGTGGAAGGGCGACTTGGAGCAAGAAAACCGGGATATACGAACCAGAGTTGAGGAGGGAGCGGAGAGGGGAAACACGTCCAACAACCAGGCAGTGTGGGAACAGAACTGTGTATATTTATGTATGCTTGCTCGTGTGTATTTACATAACTGGGCAGTGATGGTGGTGCATGGGAAAACGCGATGACCATTGCGTAAATCAGATGGCGACAGCGGCGATGAAAAGAGATGCGCGGAAATGCAAAATAAGTAGGCGGGGAAGGGAGGAACGGCGGGAGGGAGAAGACGGAAAGAGGGGAGACCACTAACAATCATTCCTCACAGGTGCAGCGCATCAGATACCCTCGTAGCAATGTTGCGAAACCCAATAGCAGTGCCTGAAATGCGTTTGAACCGCACTCCGTTCATGGAAAGCCGTGGAAGTTTGCATACCTCCATCTCCCACTGCACACACGTGTCTGCCTCCGGGTCGCCATGACGACAAATAAGGAGGTAGGTCTCCGGCTGCTCGTACTCGCAGTTTTGCTCAGTTAGCACCTTCTTAATTTCTTTTAGCATCACTGTCGGGTCCTTAGTGGAAGTTGTCTTCATGGTCCACGTGAAACGCAAACTGCGAGGCTTCAAAGTTCCGTCATTGCCACCTTCAACACTGGAGCCGACAGCGAGGCAGTTGTCGAGTGCATTCGAGCCGCTCGCTGAGTCGGACTTGTCCGTGCTACCGCCGGAGGCGTTCGAGGATATTGTTGAAGTGGTCATAATGGCTGTTTGTGGCGATGTCACCGGTGTCGAGGGATTCATTCCTGGACGGCTAAAGAGATAAAAGAAGACGTAGTATAAGAGCATGCTAATCTGAAACACCTAAGACAAGGTTGTTTGAGTTGAAATTGGGTTTTTTATACCTACGGAAAACAGTGCACACAACATCAAGTTTCCGGTGTATTCCAGCCCACATTTTGGTTTGTACTTATGTTATATTTTCTTTCTCTCGTGAAATACGAATAACGCCCATGAAATTAATTTGGATAATCGCAAAGATACGGCAAAGGTTTAATGAGGACTTGAACAATGGCTCCATCTAATAAGCATTCCACGTGGGACATATACTGCACTTTTCAAACAGTTGCTACTTGAAATAAATCGGTAGATTAAAGAATAATGACGACCTAGGGATTCGAGACACCTACTTCCGGCCAATCTTCTGCGTAAGGCTCTTCAAGAAGTTGACAGCTCCACCACTGGAATTCGCGCCTGTACCGGAGGTAGTGTTAGAGACCTCGGAGAGACCAACATTTCGCGCCGCAATGCTCGCACCACCGGTTGCACTATCGTAGTCGTCTAACGAAGAGGGAAGTTGGTGTGGAGCCGTGTGAATGGTTCTCCGCTCGGCAGTAAGACGTGAGAAGTTTCCACCACTCGCCATGGTGGCAGCGCCGCTGATAACACCAGGAGTCGTGGAGGACGTTCCAGACAGTGCAAGGTTGGTTCGACCCGCAGCACTCACCAGCTGACCGCCGGGAGCCGCCACATTGGCACCCATTCTGCAAAATGGAGGGAAAAAAGGATGCCAGTCAAAATTGAGCAATCGGTATGTGTAATATACGCATAGCAGTCATGACTGCTGGGTGTGTTAAGATGCATTATTGTTGGTGCGCAAATTGAAGTGCTTCACGATGAAGTGAGAAGGGGGAGGAGAGAGGAGACAAGAGGAGGGGAAGGGATACACCACGGATTGGTAGCTACCTAAGCGAGGTGTAGTTGAATCTTTGTCGTAGGAAAGGTATGGGTGCTAATTCTTTTCCTCTGTAAAAAGACAACAACATTTAATAGCAATGAGTACCCTGCTCATGTGAATACACCGATCGAGTGGGTGCATTAGAAAAAGATGCCGCTGCCGCCGCCACTAGCATCTTAGAACAAAAAGCGTAACGGATATGGGAAATGCTGAAGCATGGACAGTCATACGAGAAGGCTGGAGGACGAAGAAAAAGCGTGCAACAGACGAGAACGAGCAAGCGAAAATACAACAGTTAGGGGGGGTTGGGGGCAGTTAAGTGGGGGCGGTTGGAATGCAGGTGTGAGATTAGAGGCGTGTGTGTGCGTGAAAATGGGAATACCTAAGAGAGGTGTACTCAAGTTTGCGTCGGTTGAAGTTTGGAGAGACGGTGCCTTTTATGCTGAAAGAGAGGGGTTTTGCACATTTAAAATTAACAGACACAGAGGTATGGCCACAACAGCGGCCATGGGGTGAGGAAAGGCAATCGACCCAGTTTTTAAGGCAAAAGTACATGGACAAGCGATTGGGTCAGCGAAATTGTTTTGAACGATAGGTCAAGGCTAATTTATGAAACAATAGTTGATCTCTCGTCAAAATTTCCGATCGGTTGTTCTTGATATTCCGGTTATCGTTAAAGCACAAAGTGATCACTTTTTCAAGCTAGCACTTCAATCCGGATCCTTCCAATAGCTTTTAGAGCAGACGGCAGGTCAGATACACGTACTACCTTCAAAAACATTAATTCAGACGTGAAAGTAATGCAGAGATGCCTAAGTGTTTGGTGAGAATGTGGCTAATGAAAGACGGTTCTACTAGACTCGGTGAAAATGAATTAACCACTAAGTGAAAACCCGTTATGAAAACAAGTTGAAAGGGATGGCCGGAATTCTCATCGCGTAAATTATCCCAAATGGCCACTGCCATCCTGACAAAGTACAGCCAATTGAACCAAAACAACAAATTAAGGATTTGTATGTTTATGGCTTGCATAGTAGAATTTGGAACGGTTTAAAATACAATGAGGTATTAAACTCGTAGGCGCCTGGATTTATCTCAACACCTACCGACCTTTTCAAGTAACTAAATGCTTAATTTTCCTATGCCTCCTTGGAAGACCCAACAGGATAAGAAGTTCGCTGTAAGCTAATTTAAAAACACGAAAAACATCCCCATCATCTGATTTTAAGCCACCGAAAAGGCGACAATCTCTATGATACATTGGGCGTCACTTCTATTAATCCAAGTTTCTGTCATTTGAGAGGTCATAAAAATGTAGCGTTTTGTGAATTTCATCAAAGTGGGAAGACCACAAGTAAGTGAAATGTCAAGCCATCGTTTCGTATCACAGGCAATATGCGGAAAAAGTATTGAATAGCTGCTTCAGCTAGTTAAACAATTTTTTGAAGAGTTTAAGAAATTAATTTAAAAGTAATACAAAACCACCTCATTATGACTTACTAGAGGTGGAGGGCAAAAAAGTGCGACTAATATTGCACGGTGACTGGCCAATTTCAATGTGAAAAGAAAAAGAAACAATCTACTTTATCTGTCTACAGCTACAACAAATGGACAAGGTGAAATGACAAAGGGAGGAGAAATAGGGCGTGAAACTTACACAGAGCGAGGGACAGCGCTGGAGGGTAGGGTATGCTGCTCACTGACCGATGGCAGTTCGCGTGTCAAGAGAGAGTGCTCATTGTGATGGGAGTTGGCCGCACTGGCGAGGCTAGTGCCTGTCAAGAGGCTGTGGTGACCCTTAGAGGATCGACTGGTCATGGGAACTGGTGCTGGTGTCACTTGACTAAAAGGAGAAGAGTAAAGCAAAATATCAATAGTGAAACAGTGTATTGTGTTGCATTGAAGTGCAGGTCTTCAACACTTCTCGCGGTCAAATCAACACGCTGGCAGCATAGAACTCTGCTTACGGTACCTGTGCCACTAGTTTCCGAGAGTAAGACTACTTTTGGAGCTGTAGCATGATCTGCATTCCAGTACTTTTGAATAATTAACGCCATTCGAGGGAGAACCAATCTGTTCCCAGTCTCCAAAAACTGAGTCTTTGCGCTCCAGTTTCCTGAGCCTTCCACACGTTGATGACAAGGCTGCTTCCAGACTTGTACGCTTTATAACGTTTTTGGACGTAGCTCAGACGCTACAGTGAGGGCCGAAGACTCATTTGCACAGGCGTTGAAAATACCAGAATGGAAAAAGGAAGAATTCCACCTTTTTTAAAACCGTGTTCTTTAAATGAAATTACCATCGCTAAAACGCGAAATATGTTAGATTTCAAATGATAAACATCTGCAGTTGGATAGTGTAAAATCACATCAATTTTGGTAAAGAATATAAAAACGGACCCCCCCCCCATCTCAATCGGAATTCCAAATTCCATTTAAAACAAGACGAATGCCAAATAAATTCAATTTTCCAACAAGATACTACCGTTTATCATGAGATTTAGAGACAACAGAGTTAATAACCTCCAATTCCCCGCGAAATCAAAATTCTCACAGTCCACAGTTTCAATGACAACGCCTGAGAGGGCAAGACAGAAGAATGCGAGAAAATGGTGAGGGATTCACTCAATGAAATGTCACTTGCTGCTTTGAAAATGTGAAATTAAAGGCAGCCTAGATACTAAATTCTTCCCTTGCATGAGCCAATTTCAGTGATAAAGTAGACAACAAATGAGGCGGATAATAATTCGACATTCCAGGTAGACGGTAACCGAATTTTCAAACGAAAGTAGCATGCTTAAGGGATATGTAAGTGCCCACAAAATTGAAAGCTATAACCCACCAAGTTGACAACTATTTCCTCTCATTTCTATTAATCGGACACAATCGATCGCATAAAGGATGACCGAAGATTCGATGAAAGTGAGAGAAAGAGATGAGGAAGTTCCGCACTGAAAGTTATCGGACAACGATTTTGGATGGAACGTACATTTCAAGCAATCATTTATAAAACGCAAATTTGCAAAAAAAAGATTAGACAAAGAGTTATATGCAGTCTTTTTTAATGCAAGAATGCTCATTTACCTTGTCACGACGATTTTTCGGTCATTTTATTCCTTACTGAAAATACACCAACGGTGAAGGGGGAGATGGAGAGTCGAGCAGTGGGTTGAGCTAAATTAGTATGAGGTTCATGTGCATTTGTTATGAAGTACGAGCTAAAAAATTCATAAAGCTTCTCAGGAGACCACCTTAAGCGAGCCAAAAATAGTTAATCAGATATTCTGTTTCCCAAATTAAGCTTTATAGCCACTTAAAAGCAGCCACTAATTGAATTCACAGACGAGGATGGCCAGCTCTTCGTGGGATTCGGAGATAGTACACGTAGGAGCCCCCAGCGTTCTGTATAATTGATAAGGTAGATAGGTGAAAGGTAGTCTGCAGATGACTTAATACCTCATCGTTAGCAAAAACTGGAAAAGTTTCGCTGCCTTATCAAAGAGAAGATTGTAAATTAAGTGAATGCTGGATTCCATGATAAATTGAACACTGCATAAGACCATGTGTGCATTACGAATTTCGTAGGAGCGTAGTGAGGCAAAGGCTCCCTGAATTAATCAGCAAGTTACCGGCGGTCAAGCTCAACCCCAGGGCACCATTGTCACCTAAGAGGGGAAACAATCTATTGAAGTTAGTTTCGGCATCCAGTAGGTATCCACTAGGCAATCATTACTGTAAGGCATTCATAAATCCTCTCGAAATTGGCTATTTGTGTAAGAAAAAGGATACCTCTTCAAAGGCACCATCTCTACAGGTAGCGGAAAAGACTTCACGCCTTTTGACGTGGAAACAGCACAAATATGAAATTCAAATTGACCTTTTTATGGTGTCATCGCTCCGAACTGAGTAAAGGGTTAATTAAATCATCTGCTACCAAGATGTCTCAGGAGAAGATCAACCACCACACCCCGTATGTTTTATACTTTTGAGGCCGTGGCATCACTTCGCCTACCTGCAGCTCAAAAACCAAGGAAATATAGTTTTCCTACATCAAGCTCAACCTCAGGGCACCATTTTCACCTAAAAAGGCAAACAATCTCTTGAAGTTAATTCTGGCATCCAATAGGTGTCCAATGTAAGTAATCATCGTAAGGCATTCATAAAGAGACAATATTTGAACTCCAAATCGGATGAATAAAACTTGTGAACTTTGTGGCCCACAATTTTTTGTTTTCACCTTGTTTTATTCACCAGGACATGTGCTTGACTGGTTACTATTTCATGGTTATTTACCCCGTGCCGATCTTCTGAAAATGTTACTTTAGGGATGGGAAATTGAAGGAAGTGCCTAATAATCACCACCCCTATGGAGAGAATGATTACCCTGGCACACACTATGCAATATGCATAGGTTGACAAACAACGTTTTCTCAAGTGAACAGTGGAAGAGCAAAAAGAGGGGCGGTCTCTTCTAAAAATCGAAAAAAAAAGATATCGAATGATACCAAGCTTTCTCGTCTCTTTCGGGAGAAAGGCGAGAAGAGGAAAATGTTTTGACCAATGGTCGGAAAAAAATAGACGAGAAAAGTGAGGTGAGAAGTGGCACTCGTGATCGCTAAAAGGCAAAATTTGAGAAAATGATGTTTTTTCTTGCCATAAATATAGGACCACTAGTAGTACCTGCCTCATTTCTTCGATTTTATGGCAGATGTTTTGAACAAATTACGCAAATTTTTGATTTAACTAAAGCTCGAAATGCTATAAACCAGGTGGTAAGTAGATTCATTTTTCACATTCAGTGCCTAGGTGATTGTTCGAAAAGATGCTGCTCTAACTCTCTTAGTTCCTCGTGGTTGTGGCTGCACTCAGCAATAAAGTCTGAGCGCTCTACACCCGTAACACCGTAGGAAGGGAGACATGTTTACACCTGATCAACGCTTAAACGACTCTACGAGGAGAAATAAATGTCAGATATGCCAATGGTAATGAATGTGCTTCCTTGACAATGCTACGATAAAACTACATGACAGAATGCTTCTTTTAGTCTGACTTAATTTACATGTTTTGTAACCATGTTCAAACGACAACGGCAATTCAGTGAGGGTAGCCAACCTGCCAGGAAGAATCAGTCACATGACACAATTGGACAAAAATTGCACTTCGTTTAAATAAATTTCAAAGCACAGAGGCCGAGAACGTCAGAAACCCTTTTCAAAAGCCCACATTGACCTGCTTGTGATGCTTATATGAAGAAATGGGAAATAAATGAACAAAGAGCAACTGGTAACTGAATGAAACTCGGATAATGGGCTAGGCACTACTGAAATGAAAAGAAGGAGGAAATAAAAAATAAATGCTTCAATCGAAAGTAGTGGGTCTGTGAAAGCGGCCTAGAGAGCATCACCCTTCCCTAAGTAGTGTAAAGTCAGTGAAGCCATACAATGCAATCCGCCGTGGGACGTAACTCCTCACTCAACGGAATCGACTAGATGCATCACTGACGTTCAGATCAAATTTCTTATGGCCTTTATGATAATGACTGCCATGTCCATCTCGTGGATAGTGTGCAAAGTACCAACATGGAAGAGCGAACATAGCAAACACTAAGGATGAAGCTTAAATGCGGAAAGGGGATGTGTAACAGAGAAGCATTCATTTCAACTGTAATATAACCGCGCGGACTCCGTAGGTAGCGGTTATGTTGTTTTATTTTAACATTCTGCTGGAACACTACATAATCCGTTTTGAGAATGATTCGGAACGCTACACAATAACAAAAGTGGCAGAACACCAATCATGTCTCACTAAGAATAAATAAGATATCGCCATGCCTTTTTGCCGTTGTTTCATTATACGTCATCAAAACTGACCAATGTGGGTAGCAGTAGAGGTATCGAGGTAATAGGTAATACCACTTGATCCTCCGTTCCCATGCCATCACTAATAACAACTGCATCAATTTGTCAATAAAATTACCTTCGCATTTCATGGACGGGGAGTCGACCACCTGCTTGACCTGTGGCACCGCCCTTGTCTAGCTTCGTCAGACCACCCGGACTTGTGGGCGGAGGCGACTGAGGCAACGATGCGGCGGCGGCGGCGGTTGTAGTAACGCCTGAAGTACCAACGGCAGGTGAGGCGGTGGTGGTGGTAGCACCGAAGGTAACCCCGGTACCAGGGGAGGTGTAAAGGGTTGGCCCAGTGCCCGCTACCGATCGTCGATTGTTGGCGGCAGCAGTGGTGCCAATGTAGTGGTGTTGATCACCTGAAGAGGTACCGGGTACGTTTCGTCGACCTGTATTAGGAGGGTGGAAGAGGGTTGGGATCTTGGATTAATTTGGACCTTCTTAAGTCCTTTTACATCCTATAATAAACGTGTTTCAAGTTCCGTCAAAAGTGAGTCTTGATTGAGGTTTAGACATTTTTATATTCCTAGCTTAATAGGCACTACTCATACTTCGTTGACCCTTAGAAGTGGTTGGGGTCGCAGTCAAACTGCAGAGACTTCTCGACACATGGCAAGTTTTATAGCCAACATATTTCTCTTTCTGTCGAAACGGTAAAAGATAAACGAGCTTTAAGTACCAACTGGGTTCCCATTCAATCAAAAAATCAAATAGATTTACCTGAGATGTTGGGATGCGCAACATATTGAATAAAGCTGGATAAGGAGGCATGTATGACATTTTTGCATTAATTTAAAAGAAGTTGTCATCCGTGATTGCCAAGGCATCGAAGAACAATACAAAGCTGGGGTAGTTTTCTGTTTAAAATGAAGTTTCACAGCGCTTTGTACATTATCTCTCAAAAAATAGTAAGTGATAAACTTCTTGACAAGACAAAAAAAGGTGCCATTTGTTAGTTAGGACATTGGAATACATGATATGCTCTAAAACAATCGTGAAAGCTCTTCATAACCATAAAAATTCCGGCTTTCATTCGATGCGACTAAAACTATTTACCTATCATGAATGCGAGCAACCTTGAGACATATAAATAGAAGGACAAATCTAAATACGAAACCATTAAGTAATTCCGCGCCAGCTCAAATAAGTAATGATTTCATAAATTATCACGCTAAAGTGACAGTAGCTCTAGAATGAAACGATAGGTTTTTTGATAAATGAAAGTAGTTTTGCGATTTCAAAACAAAACGATAATTGTGACAGAGAAGACGTACAACTGACTGAAAATGTCATGCCTAAAATACACACCGTGTTTCGCAATCTGACAATTGGACGACTTGAGTTTTACAGAAGGGAAGGACAACGATAATCAAGTCTCAAAAAGGTTTACGCAAAAAAGCTACAAGAAAATTTCGCAAGGTAAAAGCTAGCTGACGCTACTAAATAGACCGCCTACGAAACAATGTGACAGAAGTTCTACGCCATGGCAACCGCTATTCGTAACTCTCTCCAGACGGAAGCCCGAGGAAGGCCTTTTCATTCATTTAATCACAGCTCCTCAGAGAAAAACTCGGTGGCCGACATCACGGAATTAGGATTGAAAATACAGTAATTAAAATTTAGAACGAGAATGAAAATTCTCAAATCCCCTAGAAACTTTCGAATTCTTCAAGGCAGAACGAAGGCAGACTATAAATAGCGACAAATGTTCCATGCACCAGCACTTGAAGGTGCGTAGGAAGGAATTGAATGAACCCATGATTTGCGAATCAGGAAAAATAACAACACTTGATTTAGATGACCGAATCCATGATACAAATTCAAAGAAAGAGAAGCCGAGCTTACAAGGCCAGTAAAATAAAGTTGCTCCATTAAATCGGAACCCAAAATAACGTCAAATCTATGGTAAACCTATGGCATTATTAAGTCAAAAAAGCTATTTGAAAAACGGTGTGATAGGGGTGCCGCACACTGTGAAGTCTAGAAAAAAATCATCGTTTAAGCTGGAGCAACTGTTATGCTTAAGGCCCCAGACAAAAAAACTTATTTTTGAATGAGTGATATCGTTCAACCATTGTTAAAAATGCGGCACTTAGTGAATGGGAAAGAAGAAAGCACAAGTCACAATTACAATTGGAAGTAGCTTCACTGGAAATCTTGTAAACGCCATTGATGGAAACCGTTTAGCTTACTTAGCCGAAAAAGAAAACAGGAAGCTCTTACCCATACATGCACTCACACAGGCACATACAAAAAATCCACCCAATGGAAAATTTTGTAACCTAATCAAATGAAGAAAAGAAAGTCTAGTAACAGTCTAAACCTGATCACCCATCCTCCCTCTACCATCAAGAAAGCACAAGAGCTCTCACAACTTCTAGAATTTGCCGATTAGGCATAAATCAAGTCGTGCACATGACAACTTCGCACAACTTTAAATCAGTTGAAACCATGAAATCAACCGGAATATCCAGATGTTTTCCTTCAAAGGAAATTCAACAGCCCAACGATATAGCAGTGAACATTGTGGCCATGTTTTCTACTTCTGCAGGTAGTCGAGTGGGGGCAGCCCAGCAAAATTAGTCACGAAGCTGATATTTTGTCCGTGGAGCGCTCCAGAGTGGAGTCAGAATAACAAGTTCAGTGACGACACAACTATTCCTGATAACTCTTGATCCAGCAGCCAAACGACTGTCACGTAATCTGAACAATTTTTACAACCTCCACTACGTTCAAGATCAAAGCCATGTGGCGAAACTAGTCGATTTTGTCATTTTCGGCCCTTATTGATCACGGTAATAAACGCATGTCTGTAGGCGGCAGATCGAAGGTAGACCCACAATCCACCTTTCCCTCCACTATAACAAGTATTTACCAAACTCCAAGCACAATCCAGTGCTACCCGGTGGTTAATAAATCGCATTACCGAATGCTTGGTTGCGGCTACAGCTCGATGAAACTACAGACTGATAAGGAGTAAATTAGCAGCGAATCAAGTTAAAACACACGTCGAGGTCAGCTAGTCGGGACGCAATTATTTACGATACCTTTAGAATAAATTATCAAATGTCTTATCGCATAACACGCGAAAGTGAACAATCTAGTGACATACCACTGAACAACAAACCCCACCTTCCTGCTTACGAGAAATAAGAAGACAAATTGCTCACATCCGGTCATGACACATCCACTTCCCCTAGTTTAGAGGCGATACCATTAATCATCCTTCAGCGATAAATTGCAGTTGCATAGTTTGATACTGAGTTGAGCAATAAATCAAATTCCAGTTTTAGCAAGGAATGACCTAGAGAGCAACGCAGCAAGGACAGGCAAAACACAACCTGGCAAGATTGCACAGCCTAACAACTCAGAGTTTAATGCCGATTTTACCTGCATTTCTAATTCGGTGCCGATAAAATGCGGAGATTAAACAGTTGTTCCTGTTATTTTTGGCTACAGTCCTAACCGCACATGTCCATGAAGTTGTGAGAAATCGCAAAATAATGTCCATTCAGTTCACATTTCCTACTTCTATAGTGATGAAAAGTAAACAAAGTGGCTAAATCCAATCACAACACCTATAATGAGGTAACTAGAGATGAGGCAATAGAACAACACTTTTCCTTACGACGTTGAATGCGCCAAACTTAACCTTGTGGTACAGAGTAGTGCAATTAATTCAATTCACCATACTTCAGCAACAATGGTAAAGTGGAAGAAGCGCAACAAAGTAAACTGAAGTGATTATTCCCACCATTGATTAAGGCCTGTTCTCATAGAACCAGATAGAAGTCGTCATTGAATTCACCTTTTTTCTACTTCAACAGCATCACAAAGCGGGGGTGGTGCAAAGAAGACAATGATAAAGGTAGTCTCGGCAAGCTTGGTCAAACTAATAAACATTCTAAGTAGCATACTTGTAAGACCAAAACAACTTTCTCGTCCTCAATAGCGATGAATCGACAAATAACAAGCATGCAATAAGCTACTTACCAGCGGTACCAGAGGCAGTGATCGCGGCCACACCGACAGCACGCTGGCCTCCAGAGTTCGGCACACCACCGCCAACAGCCGTGTTCTTGCGTTGTCCGGAGACACTTGAACGTCCCGTGAGCATGTTAACATCAACACTTGCGCGCTGGCCTGGCGAGGTGACGTAGTCGCCGCCGCCACCGGTGGTGAGGCCAGCGTCAGCATTCTCCTCACTGTTGCGCAACACGGAGGCCTTCCGGCAGGTGACGTTGGTCGCGGTGGAGGTTGCGGAACCATCTTGTCCAGAATCTTTGTCTATGGTGGGACAGAAAAAAAATTGTGATTACCATCCTAAGTAATGAAAGAGGATTTAAGTCGAATACCCTAAGGGAGTACAAGCTGTCCAAACCAATTTCCTAACTATTCATAAGGTTCGGTCAAATCAAGTCTTTTGAATTAAGTCAATTATTCAATATAAAACATTCCACCTCTTCCGTGTAGTTTTGGATGATAAGTTCATGTGAGGTTCGGACAGTTAAAAGTGTGTCACATTTCCAGGATTCCTTGCTCTCAGACTTTGGTGGATTGAGGAGGATTTCGAGGGGGAAGGAGATGGGAAAAGTAGAGGACAATTGGACCAATTTCCTAAGAATTTATGAGGCTGGACTAAAGTCAATCCAATTCAGACAAAAAGCTAATGAGAATAAGCACTTTGCACTAGGATGAGGTGAATAATTAATTAACAGAATTGTTAATATCATTTGAGAGAGGAATAATGTGGGCTAGAACTAGTTTTATGTTACAAAACGAATTATTCTATGAATCAAAATACGTCGACATTGCCAGTAGTAATTGAAGTACCACAATTCTTTCAACGACGGAACATATTTGTTTAAAATAACCAAGGCACCATATGTGGTGTGTCGATATGCCAACAACTGGAAAAATCAGTTGTGGGAAATATCTGATTGACAAAATTAACATTCTTTTCTTTAAAATGCATTAACGTAATCCCTATATGATGCATAAAAATGGTCACCTTTCTCGTGCTAACAGACCCAGTGTTGGGGACAAAAGTTTAGGCACGCGCGTTTATGGCCCCTCTGCCAGTTGCTTAGGCATCCACCTGGCATGCACTTATATGAACTTAAGGTTACCAAATATCAGAACCCAGGCAACTTCAAGATATGTTCAGATTTCCTTCAATCTGGGCAACTGCTATCTCACCATTCCAGAGAATAAGCTCCACTGAAGTCCGGAGTGATCTATACCCGTCGCACCAGCTTTGAACCTCGTAGTTGGCCCTCAAACGGATGCAGCAGATTCGACCTTATCCACATTGGTGAATACATACCAGCAGAAATAAATTCGTTCTTCCAGCCCCGAAATATCAAAAATAAGTTCATCTAGTGTGATTGGTGTGGTTATCAGCCATCTTTGCCCTGAGACGATAACTCCAATTGCAACAGACAAGGACTTTTCGACTAGCCAGACAGAATTAATCATGGGTTGACCAAATATCCTCCTTCCACCTTCCCATTTTTCAGAGAAAATGTTAAAGGCTAGTAAAAACTAAATGACTGGGAGTCAAATGAACATTCTATTGACGAGAAAATCAAACCAACCCTTGTTAAACTGTACACTTAATTACGCAAGTTTTTACTTCCGTTTCGGCCATGCTCAAGCCTCCCAGTCCCTCTTTAAGTTGATCCCGGTCTACCAAACTGGTGTGGCTTATTACAACTTTAGAGGATGTTGGAGGTGCTGTCGAAGATATTCAAGAAAAAATTGTTCTTTAATTCAACAATGCTACACCTTGAGATCTAAGTAACAAACGACCCATTTAAATCCTTTCGATTTTTATTTAGATTAAATATGAAGTATGATTTTCGACCCAAAACCAACTTCTCACTTCCTTTCAAGAGGTCTGATGAATAAATTTTTGAATTGGTAAGCGCACGAAGGATTTTATGAGTCCGGCAGAGGTACGTAGGTTTACCGACCATCACCATCCCAGTGTGAATACCGGTGATTATAATAATAGGGGGGGAAGGAGTGACTGCAGAACTGACTGAATAGCACACAAAAGCACGAGCAATCATTAGTCTCCGCTTTACTCGCACTATTTTCGACGAAAATACGCTGGATTTTGGAATCCAAATGGACAAGCACTTTAATGATAGAGAAACAAGGTAAATTATTCTGACTTTAAAACGAATAAGAGTACAGTTGCATCTATCTTCAGACGCCTATTAACTTAGGCATCCGGCAACACATTCACAGAGATAAGTATTACTGGTTGTATATGACACTCTTAAGCCTAAAAATATATGCTTTTCTTTCATTTAAAGAAAACAATGAATAAGCATTCGACCTCATGAATTGTCATCTCTCTCAATTTTATGAACTTCCGTTTGAAAGCTTCGATATGCATTCATTCAAAAGAGGAAATGAATTAGGTTTCGATCTGACAAATGAAATACACACCCGATGACTTTGTAACACTCAGCCTCTCCCTCTCTTTCTCTCCGTTGTCTTGATGACGACCATTACCCGACCTGGCGGTTGCAGTCTTCGCTGAAGTGGTGGTGGCGTTGGTAGGATTGAAATTTGGTGTCTGCGACTGCGAGTGATGGTGATGGTGTGCCCCACCTGAACTCCCCACCACTGACTGGCGACCTGTGGCGACGGTCGCTGGCGCTGTTGTTGTGAGGGTATTTTGTCTGGAAGAGAAAATGGGGAGGAAAGAACTAGTCATTGATTACGCAACAAGCATCGAGCCATACCGCATCTCCGCATTTAAAAGGAAGTTAAAACTAAGATCAACCCTACTTCTAGCTGAAACGACGACTTTTTGACGCTTCAACACACAGTGATTGGGACTCACGTGGAGTTGAAGATGATCATATAAATTCCCTAGCTGGAGGAAAAATGAGATAAAACTCGTCATCTTAATAACTTAAAATAGAAGCGAGTACAGATAGTCGTGCCATTTGCTGGGTGTCACATCAAATTTGGCATTTAGAAGTAAAAACTAATAATTGGAGTATGGAGGTGAAACTTAACATTTTGACCACCTTTTTGACAACTATATTTGGACTGATTTACAACGTAATCTAACATCAACACAGAGGTCAAAAAAACATTTGAAATGATAGACCATTATTAATGTAAAGCATTTTTACACTTCTTATCAATACGAAAACTTAAACGCCCACGAACCAGCATCTACAAGTGAATAGCATAGCAAATTACGTCAAGCAGCACATGACAAAGAATGTTATTTGTTTGAAGCAGCACCGCAGTGCCTATAATTAGCAGCTAAAAAAAGTCCGCGGGAGTAGGCAGGAGGATGCAGGGAAATGGGGATTTCTGCTGTACATTAAACACGACTCAACAGTTGAAGTGTATCTCATCAAGAAGCGATAATTTCAAAACTGCAAACCGAGCTGGCGAGGTTGGGTCATTCGTTCTAAGCACCTTCTCGATGATTTTCTCAAACCACCCTAACCGGAGGCAAAGATGAGAGGTCTGTTGATGAAATACTCTTTCACTGAGGAGGGAGAAACAGAAAACATTCGTCACATTCATATCACATCTACAGACGAACGGATCAATTCCTGAGGACTCAAGGCAGCAGATTCCTACTTCGTCAGCGACTTCAGCATCGATATTAAACCCACTTGAACTGCAAATGAGCAAACGATGATGAGGGTCTCTCTGTTTTAGAAATTACATTTGCAGCATTTATTAACACCATTGCCACAGTTACAAACGTCCACAAGCAAAGAGGACAGCCTCTGAAGGTAAACAATATGAAGCAGTGCTGCTCTCAAGTTTAACATTTAAAATGAAGAGCTTTGAAAGGAAGGTGAAATGGGCGTTCCTCGTATTCATTCTATAGTGGGACGGCCGAAGTACCTGCGTAATGGTATATAAATAGGCGGGACAACAGCCTTGTTCAGCTGCCTACGCTATATAATACAGTGTGAACTGAAATTAATCATGGCGGTGATAAATAGTGGCGTATAAAACAGTCTGGAAGAAAGCGATAAAGGATTCGTGCCACGTGGCACACAACACGCAATAAACTCGCAACACAAAGGCTGTCTATCTTTGAAAAACCATCTTGAAGTCCCTCCTGAGCCTATTTGAATCTTTGGACAACAGGTAATAGCTCGCTTATGGCATGGTGTTTAGGTGGAGAGGTAGGACAGAAAACTTGCCACTTGAATCTCACCAGATAACAGACTTCCTTATTCAATGGCTGACCACCAGTACACCACTAAGCAGATTCCCAAGTGTAAGAAAATCCACATTTATATTTGAGCTACGAATAAGTAAAAGATAACAGTCGCTGCGTTCGGGCTCCGTAGTCAACTGGTTGACAAGAGGATTGCATGTCACATGGCTGAATAATTGAGTGAAAACCAGTTACGCCACCAAGACAATTTGTAAGTTAACACTCAAAACAGTACTGTTGCACAATTACAATTAAAAGCGTGACGTCAAAAAAAGTTTCAAATATGACGTTTTTCGTATTCAGAATCTACGTACTGATACCTGTAAGGAGATAAGCTGGCTAAATGTAGCAGGCGAAAATTAGGAAATTGCCAAGAACGCAAAAGGGAAATAGTAATAGCAATAGGTTAGACCTTTCAACACTGTGCTTAAAAAACGACGGATTTTGAGAATAGGGAAAACGGAATTTGGTACTGAAAGCTAAAGTTCCATACCACGGGAATAAAATAACATCTGACTGGATCACCAGTACAATTGAACGCCACGATAAGATCGCCCATCATAGCCATAGCTTCGGAATAGGAAATACTGCTGATCATTTCGTGAATGCGTATTGTATCATTGAGAGGGGAAGACTTCCATCCTCCTACAGATTTTTGACCCTACTTATACTTTTGGCAAGGCGTAAAATGATTTAATCAAGCCTTATAAGCACGTGCCACAATTAAAAAAGCACAAGAATGCAAGCAATGCATATTTACAGGGAGAATCTTGTAGAGGGCCTCGCAATGTATTAAAGCGACAAAAATAGTGACAAATAGCAGGAATATCGGGAGTAAACGTTAGAACTTCAACAGCATTGCTAAAATGAAGCCAACAATTAAAAATGTTAACAATATCAAGGGGTGAAGAGTAACGGCAAACTAAGCGTAGATAATCCCTCCCTGGCGCTGGAGACTATCGATGTGATGAGGACGGCAAGTACTTAAATCCTCAACGTTCTCGACTAATTTAGTAAGATTATGGAGTGCTAATATGAATCGGCAAAATGGAAACAAGCTAACACTCCAACAGTACACAAGACAAGGAATGCGCATAAGTCATTGACATAACGTGCAGCAGCGCAGTGGAATCAGTTAGCCTTCTCCCCCCTCCCCACCCCACCCCACACAAACTCTCAGCAAATTCACTAAATGCCTGAGTAGTTTTGTGTTGTGTAGTGGCGCATGGCGCTGTGATCCGATGCAATAAGCCCGGGGTAATAGACTTGACTACATTGATGGTGTAGCAAAATAACTTCACAAACAGATACGCGCAGTAAGGACCAGCGTAGCACTATCACCGCTTACCTCTCACAGCAATGTGGTGAAACAGTTGCCGATTGAGGATTAAACCCAAAAGTGGAAGTCAAGAGCATGATGCAGTGAAGACAAGCCCAGAACCGATTTCTATTCTAGTCCTCGTTAAAGTAGTTCTACTTTTCTGGAAAAAAGGATTCAGTGCTCCTAAGAATAATCCTTAGCACGAACATGGAGCATTCGAGGTTGAACACCGATCCGACACAGACACTCCGATGAGCCCAAGGGTATTAATAATCGGTAAGTAGAGAGATCCAACACACACCTTTTCGCCGATATCTTTGAGGAAAGTGACAGCATAAAAAAGACAGGTTAGCTTTGAAAACAGTTTCAAAAGCGATTTGACTCCAATTATTTCAAATCAAGCCGATTCACTCACATTACATCACAGATTGTGCAAATTTTTACCACTATCACAACAGTAGATCAATCGCGACTAGGCATTAGCCCGTTGCACCCAATGGCATTGCCAAAAACCATCTTCAGCCGCGCCAACTCCGATGGTGGCGCACTTTCACCACAAATATGTACCACCACAACTAAAACGACATTCACGAAAGGGGCTGGAGATGACAAGCTATCAGCGAGTTTGATAGCGTGACAGAAATTTAATGTATGCCATCGTTGGAAGTTTCTACTTCCAAACGCTTAAACAACTTAGAAACAAACGCGAGTCACCCAAATTTCATTAAGAGTGAATAACTCCAACCCTTTTGACCGTAATGGGTCAACAATCGTAACTAGAAGCCGATTTGAGGTAATATACCGTGGTAAACTTAAGACTCCTACGAGTAAGGACTTAAGCATATCCAGTGCTCACAACCTTTTAGCAATGCCTCCGACTCTAATTACTTTGTTTCGTGAATTAATCTCCGAATTTCGCACCCAATTTTCTTTGCCATATCTTTAGTTGAAGGCCTTTTACCAGACCCCCTTACCTTGATGGATGGTTTGTAAAGGCTTATTACAGGTAGAATAGAGAAATGAGGCAAACTTTGTTACTGCCAATGGATGCATAGCTTGCAGCGAACAAGGGTTTACATTGACACCAATGTCTTTTCAGTAATCAAAATATCACCATTCAACCAGTCAGCTAGCCAAGCAGTCAGCTAACTGATGTTTCGAGGAGCATTACTCCGGCGCCTTTTTAAAACTCGTTTAAGGTCGTTCTTGCGGGTCGAAAAAAAGCGTTGGTTCCGATCCAAAAAAAACACCAGATAAAAGTAAGATCTTACAAGAGGGTAGTTCAAAGGCTCATTCAGAAAATATAAAGCTACCGACGTATGGAAACAAGTGCCTATAACCTCCCAATTTGATCGCTTTAGAACCCCTCGTAAATATCGCATTTTTATTTATAAAAATACGAGAAATTGAAGTGTTTATGATTTGTTCGTGGTTTAAAAAACGGTAAAGCAGGAAATAGAAATGAGATAGGAACAATGTGCCTCCACAATGACCAATCACGATGGAATTATGGGAGGGCCAGCTGTTAAACTTGGTGATCTAATGGTTAACCGTGTATTTGAGAGAGGAAAAAACACATCACCTAAGCAGATATTTCTGTCAAATAGTCATCCTTTCTTCTCAAACCCAACTTCAGGCACCTAAAAATCGGCTTTTTGAGGTTTTTCTCCATGAAACGAAAACGACATAAGAAGTACATCAGACGAATACGTATGTTTGCGAAACGACATTTTGGAAATTGTCATGGTAACCAGAGTGTTGTTTCAAGACGTACTGCCCGATATAATTACCTAGAGAAATGGAAAGTTAAAAACTGATTCATAAATTTGTACCGGAGGGTTAAGAAATAATGACAGACATTGCAAAGAATAATGACAGCAAGTGACCCTTAGTAAAAAAATTCCTTTACTCTCGCAAGGAAGTTTTGAATGTCCGCAAGAGGGTAAACGTTTGATAGAAGCATGCAGACGATGCAGAGCTCAAGCCTCGCAGTAGTTCCACATGAAGACATCCAAATGCGACGAATGAGAGGAAAAATGTGGATCACTCCCAGTACAAATTTTTTCAAGCATGTCAAATAGCGAAAAAGGAAACAAATAAAACTCTGCCAAATGTACAGATGTTTTGAAGGCACAAAGAGACACAATCACAGTGGAGCCATAAACTAGTGATATGAAAACGCCAAATCGTAAAATAAACGAATCGAGATATTGACAATTGGAAGTTCGTACTGAGTGTGCCACTGGCCTACCTAATGGTTCAAACGCAATCAACTACCACCCTGCTGATGAACGTGAAAGCATGTAGCGAACGCGAAAACCGAAAAAAAGCATTCAAAAGGAGAGTCGGCTCGGTTTTAACTATGGTCGGTCAGTATAGTTATGGCCGATTTATAATTATCCATAATTGAGAGCCCCGAGGTCATCGCCTAGAACAAGTCTTTCGGGTTTTTGACGTTCTGATTAATGTTGTATGACAGTGGCCCGGACTTTCAGTCGACATTGGCTCTGATTATGTGATCTGAAAGTACCATCACTTATGCTGCTAAAACGAGGTTGTTTATTGACCCGTACAGCCTATAAAACCCCCTCAGAATCAGTACAGATGCCACGATAGGACCTACTCGGGTAAGTAGACTAGAAGACATTGCCTATTCAGAGCACATCTGTCATCATACGAAATTGGGAATCGATTTCAGTGAGGTCAAGTGAAGTTAGAGTGCTCATTTTGCTGTCCCTGTGGCTCCTCATCACTGATTGCACCACATGCTGGCACTTGGGAACTGTCGGGGAGCACTGATATTGGCAACCTTTAAGTAGCCATCGCATAAAGATCACAAATGCAAGTACATAATTTGTGAAAAGGAATCAGCATTGTTGTTCATGTGCAGTGGGAATGAAGAGCATCAAAATAGCTACAGTACAATTAAATTGTTTTCCTGAATATTGCATACTTCGCAGGACACCATTATCAATGGGGAGCTTCGTGCGTTCACGGCCCTAAATCGTCGGGACAAAGTTACCAAAAGGAGGCGTGGCAGTGAAGACTTAATGCGGTTCAAATCAAACAAGGCTCAATCAAGACTTTTTTGAAGTCTCGAACAAGGAATATTTAAAGGGGGCAGTAAATTTCGTTACCAATAATGTGAGAAGCACTTCCGTCACTTCACCGATATCATTTGTCCCGTATGGGAATTTCTAGTGAGGAATATTGGTACACACATCCACTTTTAAGAAATAAACTATCATTCACCACGAGCACCGAAAGAACCGAATAATTAAATCTCCAAACGATTACATATCAATTCTCCACATTACTAAAATCCACCTCGACAATGAGATCCAAAGGCTGATCTTTGAGAACCGACATTAAATCAGTAGTTTAAAGAATACAGAATTATTGCATACAGTATAATTCGGCGGGTTAAGGAAACAGGCCAATAAGGTCAAAAAGTCATGTGAAAAATGGGTTATAAGAAAGGTTTGTGTCACGATGAAATTGTAATCAGGACTAGGCGTAAAAAATTTAAACCCCGATATGCAGATCCTGTAGAGGAAGCGGAAAGACAAAAAAGGCATCAGGAAAGAGGCATCCTCTCATGAGGATGAGGAGCCACTGATGGTAAGCCCGTACGAAATTATACATGCCCTTTGACAAAAAATTCATCACACTTTAAATTGCCTGACAATAAAAGTTTATTGTGTTAGCCAAAAACGGAGACAATGTTATACTTATTCGCATTATAAAAGCCCTTACAACTACCAGACCTTTCACCAGCTTATACCCAGGCATAAAAAGGAGATAGAGTGGGGGCTTCTACCCCAAGCGAAAGGGAATTGCTGAATTCAGCTAATGGAGTGTGAGTAAATGGCGGTAGACACAACAATAAGGTTTCCTTCAGATTGGCCAAACTCACCCAATAGTGGTATCACAATACAGCAGGGAAATTAGCTTTTGAAGGCAGCTTATAAAAGTTAATGACATTTGCCCAACTATGTGTGTCCACATTCCAATGTCAAATTGATGTCATAACAGATAGTCTAAGTGTCTATTTTAAAATCCAACCGAAAAAACAAATTTCAAAGGTTGCAAGAATAAATACCTGTAGATAAGAACTAAGATGAATTTGCGCTCTTGGAAATACCTTTTGCTCAAAAAAACGTTGTTTTGCAGATGTCTTCACTCCCAGGGATAGTGAATATTACATTCAAATACGATTTCGATTTGAGTTGAATCCATTACTAGTACCACCTTCGCAGCTTCTACCAAAAATATTGCGACCATGAAGTGAGGTTATTTCCGATACTTCCCTGTGCGCAAACAGACTTGATAAGACAAGTAAACATAGGGATGAGTTTTGAATAACCTTCCTCCTACCTGCTCAAATGTTCCCATTTAATCGGAATAAGACTTTGAGTGAACTGGACTACGATAATTCTTTTGTATACACAAACACATGCCTGAGAATAGGAGAACGAACCACTACAAGCAAGGCTACTGCTGATTTTTCCGAGTCCCTTTCCCATTCGCTGTGAGCCACCAACTTCCGCCACCCTCCTGAATGCTGCTTTTCTCTTCCAGTCCAAAACAAAATAACTATTCCACACACTTGTAGAAGGTAGACAAGAAGCAAAGGGGAAGACGAATGTAGAGGTGGTGTGAAAGAAGCTACTGACCGAAGCGAGAGATCAGAACCACGTCCTGAGTCCGACTCCAGACTAGGCGGGGTGGGATGACCGAGAAGGAAATAGGTAGCGGCAATAGTATCGAAGCTGCCCGACTGCAGGGATTTTATGATGTCTGAACGCGAGAAGCCCATGTTCACCATGATCTCGATGCGCACTGGATCGTTGAGATCGGGCTCCGGCTCAACGTAGGGCGTCAGGGGGGAGTCCTCGTAGCCCGTGTTTATCCACTTATCCTTCATCACAGACTGCAACGAGAAACGAGGATTAGGGAAGAATATGAATCATTTGTGGGCGTGGATTTGGGCGTATGCTAGACCGAAACAACGATGCAGTGAGTCATCGGGTAGTTGGCAAATAGGCAAGTCAGGGATCCCTTAGCACAAAACCACAGCCATTCTGAGCCAAAAAATATGATACTTGCAACCAGGTTCGATTGGTGTATGCACAAATAACGCCACTATTCATTAGTACCTGGAAGTAATTTGTGAATTTCCGCAGCAAACCTCGCTTACCAAGTGGCAATCCTTCGACTAAACTACAAGGCTAGTCGATATTTGGACGAAAACAATCTCATGGCATGACCAGTTACTGCTCCTTACGATCAAACCGGATCCATCAAAAGATACACGAGTCGTAAACTAGACTTCATGCAGCACCTAAAAGTGTTCCTAGCGATCCTGTTAGATCGTGAAGTCAGAAATCCCAAAGGTAAAAGGTCACCAGTTGGAAAGACGCTCAAAGTTCAAGGTAAGTAACCCGTGAACTAAAGGGCATTAAAATTTAACTGCTGGAGCAATTTCACTTCATTCTCCCCCCCCCCCTCTTGGCTACGCAAAATCGGAGGCTTGCATAAATTGTGGAACCTTTTGTAGGCAGGAGCGCATAAAAAAGTACCCATCTTTAATGGGTGATCACTTCGTAGTGGTCCTACGGGTCTAATTAACGCATAATTACAACTTGTTTTGATTTCTCCCAAACAAGTGGGATGGTCGTACGTGAATAACCTTAAAATTCGAGGTGAAAAATACAGATCCCGCAACCTCATTAGCAAAGTGTTCACATACAGTGGATGGGAATGACGATGACAAAAGGGAATCACGAAAAAATCCCAAGATCAAGCACGTGAGAAGGTGAATAGTTGTTTTTTTTTGAAATTTTACGACCCAAAGAAGAGAGCAAAGAAATTATTCCCTGTACGTGCCTTTGCTTGTAGACTCATGAAAAAAAAACTGTGGAATTTAACGCAGTTGGCATTTGTTTTAATCAACCTCGCGTTGCTAAGATAGAAATTTTAGCGGCATATCGATATGGTGCCTTAAAGCCAGTTCCATCGAGCTTAATAATCTGTAAAAATGCTAGAAAAGAACTTAAGGTCCATTTGATTGGCTTCCACTAGTATCACAGAAAAGAAGACTGTCATAGCGTAGCGATGGGATACAGTACTCTCCCACTTGCAAATGCTTGTGCAGACAACAAAGATTTAAATTTCAAGCAACGAGGGCCCGTGAAAGTGCCTGTCAAGCTTAGTATGAAAGTATTCAGTGCTCTGCGGTGATAAATAACATATATAAAACGCGTTTGATGTCATACGGGTATGAAGTCGTGGCTCATAGGGACAGTAAATGAGGCAACCGCCTAACATTATTAAGCAACTGCCATCTTAGAGCACTCATTTTCACGAGGTAAAGAGGGGTCAACCTTTAACAATTTTAAATTATAAGTGTGCACTTTTCCTTTGATTCAGTAGGTGAGCGAAAATGCACACCCAAGAGCCACAAAAGGGTGGCAGACGCTGTTTTTTCTAATCAGGCCTAGAGATAAACGGTTAAGCAATTCAGACTTGCCATCAAAAGGACAAAAATCGCGGTAACCCTCACAAGAAAATGGGTGCTCCTGCATCTAACAATATGATGGATATGCATTAAAGTGTTATCTTCAAATTGACAAGCGCCACGTCTGGATAGCCAAACAATAGTTAGTAACGATAATAGCAACACGATCTTCATACTTATAACAAAATTACCTATAATCTGTTTACTTTGAACAAACTTACCAAAAATAGAAGTGGATATATACAGGAAGCCAATGAATAAATTCCCACTCTCACAGCTCTCGAAGAGCATTTTAGACCCAGGTCAACAAAAACAGCTACACCAATTTTATTATAAATGAGGCAATCCCCTATCAAAGCCCATGGCATTGTTGTCGATATAGCTTTAAAGACTACCGCTTTTAAATCGTAATTCTAACCGGACACGTGTATTGCTTCATGCGCCTAGAGTAGAACTACAGCAAAACCTGTCATCAAAAGTTGGAGATATTAGTCGGCATTTGGACCAAGCCAGCATAAAGTTTAGGTGTAACTTCATGCATTTCTATACATGAATGACTTGAAACACATAATTCATACCTTCAAGGTCCAATTTTAACACGATTGGTACAAACCCAGATTTCATCAACAGCACCTAACGGTAGTAGTGGGGCCTTGTGATCCAACATCCTGGTCCAAGCACTGCCTGATTACACTCATCTCAGGTAAGGACGAAATTGCTGCCAACATTGGACACTACTCATTTAAAGGAAAAATTAAACGAGGTATCGGGCATATCTTGAAGGGAACTGGGGTGAATATTACGACTCCTTTATAAGAAATTTAAGGCAGCATGGGTAATGAAGAGAACTGCGTGAGTGCCTAGAGAATGGGGTGATTACAGCCTAATGGAAGCGCCCGTCTTTTTGAAATGTATTGACTGGCTTGCTGATAAGTCCATGAAGAATATGAACGTGGAAAATCTAAACCAAATTAAGAAACAAGGATGTGAATAAAGATGGATGGACACAGATAATTAGTTTGGGCATTGGTATTAGAAAATATAATGGCTCCAAGCTACACTCACCAATTGCCAAACTCATCAAGTACAAACAGATATTTAATGCAAGCCAGAACAAAATCATGAGAGTTGGACGCTGTTTTGCGTACATCTATGATTCGGTGAGATGAAAATAAAGGGTGAAAAGAGAAAAAAAAGTCATGACAATTTATTCAAAATCCAAATTTCAAGGATGCTAGCTTGGGATCCACTTTTGTTCTAGAGTCATACCTGCCGCAAAGTTAGTGAAGAATAGTAATACGTAATCCAGGTTTCTGATGACTGGATTACAAACATTAGTAGCGTCTTTCAGGTCGTTGATAGATCGCTAAGGGGCAAAATGCCACAGGGATTTGGATGACCTTTTAGTCCACTTTAAAAAGCGATTTTTCGCAAGGTGTTCTAACACACGAAAGGCAAAACTCATGAAATACACCACTGGAAAAGCCAATGATGCTTTGGGACCGAAACTGCATGGAAAGAGATGTGCTAGCTTTTAAAAGGAATAGAAAGAACTTGTACCTTCTATGATAAGGGGGTTGAGGTTGCTAGCATGAGGAACATAAGCAAGGAAAATGAAGCACATTTTAAAGTAAATGGAGTGGAGATACCCCCAGTCTAACTCCAACCCATGCTGATATTACGTGTTATACCCTGAAAGTCAATTTTCGTGCAATCTATAGCACCCAGAAAGAGAAGATAAGCAAATTTTAAAGCAGGAATTGAGGTATGAGGCGCAGTTTTTAACAGAGGTTGATTTCGTCTTGGAAACTTTAAATTCCATTTCTTGAAATCCAACTACTTAGTGCTAAAATTGTAAAAAAAATTGGCCAATTTTAAGAAAATTTGGGATAAATAAATAGTCATAATGAGTATTATCTCTTTTTTCCATCGGATGCACAAAAAAAGTGTGGGTAAATTCCTATGAAAAACGTGACAACCTTCGGTGCATTCAAAGCGTCCATTTTCTGAGAATCACTGGTCCACTTACTAGCAGGCCAATTAGGTTTATAATCTTGAAGAAGTAAGACGAATGAGTTAAGCCTTAAAGGCAACAGTGGCGAGAACACTTTCACAAATACGATGGTCGCTTATTGCAATATTGTTGAAGATATAGCAAAAAAGTAAAATTGTTATTTGAATGCAAAGTCAAAAAAATGCGGGGGTTTTCACAGACAATAGGGCAGTCTCTTATAAAAAGCGAAAAAAAAGATTGCAGATCTTTCATGCCTAACCACAAAGCAGTTGAAACGAGGTCAGAGTAACTGGAGCAGAAAGTAGACACCATTGTAGCCTTTGCCGTTCAAGGCTACGTATGTATGAGGGGAGAAATGCTCTAACCGCCACAGATTGAATTTGCACCCAGAGAGTAAGACTTCGTGTGCCAATTGGGGCACTATTATTTCTTCTTTCCAGATCTACCGAATACGCGTCTTAAATAAAACTGGATAAAATTGTACAGGACAATCCTACGGCCTTATGTGTAAGTTAGTCGTTTTTCCCTCGTATAATACATTCGTGGCTACTTATTTGAGCGCTCCTTTTAAGACTTAAAAAGGGGTAAACGAAGGGAGCATTCAGGTACATTTTGGGGTTGCTGATACACCAATTATAAAACATAAAAATTATTATTATTACTATAGTGCTTGAAATTTTCAGTGATAATGCGATCTCTTACCTCAAGTAGTGTTAAGATTGTAGACACTCTCCGAGGCTAAAGGTAATGAACAGCACTTTGGAGACAATTAGGCAGTCTTTTATCTCATCTCGAAAGCGTTCTTTAAGGCTTGTGATCCAAATATTACCAAATTGATTCAAAACATAAAAAGAGCAATTTCAGCAGTTTAAAGGAAGTTCCACTATAAATAACAGTGAATAGCATTGCCCTTGTTCGTAGTCATCAACCTAGGATGATGCAACTGTGGCTACAGTTACAAGCAACGACTTCCTAAAAAATACGTCCGCCAGCTAAGTTCCAACTGCATGGTAAAAATAAGCGACAAAGGTTTGGGCTATTTTAAGGCAGAACGAGGAGGTATGTATAGATTAAAGTTTATCCGAAATGAGAATTACTATCTGGAGCACCTGTTTTCGATTTATGAGGAAATAAATTCAAGCAGCATTCAAATCGACTCCATGCATCAACTTTTCACTGACTTATTTCCAAACTCATGAAAAAAAAGGAAAAATCGGCATCTTTTAAAACATCTGGGGTATGAGAAGAGGCAATTGAAGGATTTGAGAATAAAGTTAACACTAGGACGTGATTGTAGCTACCAACGTCACATATCGGCCAAGTCCTAATTTTCTTAATTGAGCCCAAGAACACAAATATGTGACACGTATTCTTCATTATAACAACTAAATTTCCTCAGCTTTTAAGCAGCGAGTAGGTCAACCAGTGGTCAATCTTCTCCCTAGAATCCTTGTGTGCACCCATGAGGGATATGCATGGAGAAATATGTAAGAAATTTTGAGGACGTGCCTCGAGGGTGTGCCGCTTGGCAGGGTTGAGATGGAGCATTTTGCGCAGCAGAGCCTCGCAGTCGGTAGACATGTAAAATGGTACGCGGTACTTGCCAGTGAGCACACGCTCGCGTAGCTCCCGCAGGTTCTGCCCGTCAAAAGGCAGGGCTCCGGATACCAGCGTGTAGAGGATTACGCCCAACGACCACACGTCCACTTCTGGGCCGTCGTACTTCCGACCCTATATGGGGATGGTAGAAACGTGTAAATTTTGGGCATAATGGGTGAAAGCATTACTTCTCCTTGGTAATTGAGCCTTTCTTTCGGGCAAAAAAGCCTAAAAAATCTAGAAGCAGGGAAAGTAAAATTGCATCCCACAATAGTATCCAAATATTTTACTGACCAAAGAAACACGATTAGTGAGACGCCTTTTAAATCGAAGGACATAAAGCACCCGAGGTTATATATATCAAACAAATAACAAAATTATCTTAAAAGAAAACGAATGGATGGAAAAGAATGCAATCTCGAAGCACAAGCAAATAAACCTAACTTAAGTTTTAAAAATGAAAAGAGTTCCCCATTTGTGACCTAGAACTGGTCTTTCGCCATGCTATTCCATGGGCTGTGATAGTTCAATCTAATTAACAGTAGTAGAATCACTCAAAAATTGGCTTAATAGTATTTTATGATCCAAAGTGCACTCGGGAACACAGGAGGACTCAATTGCAAACGAATACAAGGGGGGAATTCTTCAGCTTGTCGACGTACCAGACTTCGACTTTGACAGATGCCTGTAATCGTTCTATCAAGATTAAAATACCTTGTGACTCGAGAGAGGCAGATGCACGCACACTTGGATAGAGTGTTGGAGGCATGTGAGTGCAAACTTCTACCTCTTCTGACACGTCGTGCAAAAGTGAGGAGGCGATAAAGGGGAAAACGCATCACAAAGATGGCAATGCAACAAGACAACGTTATGATTGTCCATCAAGGCGCCGCAATTTCGGTTTCCTTCAGGATATCTTGACGTTATGCTCATGTCAACGGTTCCCCAATCTTTCTCTACGTTACTAATGTATCGCATTCCAAATTGCTATGCATTATAACGACTTCAGAGAAGCCTTAGGCCGTTACAGCAGCATGTACAATCCTTGAGGTAATCGGTTTAAGCAATACTACTACATACTCATAATGCCTGGGTGGATAAGCTCGTCTAAAATGCGAATGCTAACCGAAGAGCCGGCTACTTGGTCTTGCATTAGGTGGGTGAAGGACTAAACAGTACTTGAGAGACAGGATTGCACTGCTCCACACAGCAAAATTACTCCTATCACGGAGCTGTAAGTTTAAAATTCAACAATAGACCCCCTCTTCACCCAAACCCGCGAAGTGATTGAACACTAAGCCACGTCTACTTAACTACAAAAGAAACGCTGATAAAGTAGAGGACATACAGACATCAGGTTTGGAAAAGCCACTGTGATAATTTCAAACATAAACCAACACAACAGATCATACAATAGTGCGTTTGCGGTGTGCGGCGGCCACAGTCAACGAAAGGTATAGAAAGGCGCGTGAATAAATAATAGCGACCCAGGAATGTGAAAAAAGTGAACACGGTTACCCTGCACCCCAATCACCTTGGTGGTAGGTGATTGGTAATGATAGGGACAAAAAAGCACGAAAATTCCAGTGAAAACGCACTGACTTGTACCTTTGCCTATGAAGTAAGGTAGTACCAGTAATTTCGACAGTAGTTTCCCAAAAAATCAACATTTGCAAATAGTAAAACCAGGTCAGATAGCCGCGAAATAGGCTAAAGACCCCAATCCAAGGGTGTAAAGTAGTGAGCGGAGGTGCATAAACAGCCTGGGTGAGAAAGTCTGGCAATAAACCAAGTGATTTGGAATGAAAAATGAATCAGCATGGATAATCTTGAACGAAATTGGACTGTAGTCAGGAAAAATTAGTTCCATGCTATGAAAATCATCCATACTAAAAATCCGAGAGCGCTTTAGAGGTTTGAAATAGCAAGAGTACGGTTGAGCCATAAATAAGGAAAATATATGTATATATATATCCAAAGAAATTCTAGCGATCTACACAGACAAATCACAGCATTGGGACTGGTAAGTCGAATCATCAAATGGCCAATGAATGAAAGAGGAAGGCAAGTAACGAAGTTCGTAGAGCGTGATCTGAACCCAAAACAGATATAAACGCACGCAAGCAGAAGATAAGGTAATCAACAAAGAAAGCATTTGCAAATGAAAAAAGGTCCCAATATGACACGGTGCGAAAAAGAGACAGGCCAGGTCTGAACGCAAAAACGGAGATGCAATGGGTTTTTCGTGGGTTGTTGTTGCCGGAAACAGTTGACAATAAGCACCCTATCTAACCCTATTCCTCTTCGCATCCAAATCAAATGAACTCTCGCAGCCCAGCAGACCTAAATGCCTTTCATGCTAGCTCATCTCACTCGTGAACATGAGCGCACACACGACGATTGTTGCAATACCAGGTGTTGGAAGAAAATGCGACTGACTGATCCACGCACGCACCCAACGTCATTGGGAGACATTCCATGCCAATCAAAAAACGTGAAATGACGCAAGAGAACGTATATGATGCACAGAGTATCACATCACGCAGTGTGAACGTGCAGTAAACACAGTAAATCCCCCGAGCTCTACAATTTAAAGGCAGTGAAGACACGCGGATAGCTAACCTCAAAAAGTTCGGGAGCAGCGTAGGGTGGGCTGCCACAGAAAGTGTCCAACTTCTTGTCCGAGCTGAACTCATTGGAGAAGCCAAAGTCTGCAATCTTAACATTCATCTGAGCGTCCAGGAGCAAGTTCTCTGCCTTCAGATCACGATGGACGACCTTCTTTTGATGACAATACTGAACCGCAGAGACGATTTGTCGAAATTTGGCCCGTGCCTCCCGTTCTGCCATTTTACCATGGGTTACGAGGAAATCAAACACTTCACCTGCAAAAAAGGCATTCCATCGGTCTGTGACAAGTTATCGATTTTGACGAACTTAAATCAAATTCACTTGTTCTTACCTGGCGATTCTCAGCTTATAAAAGTTTTAAATCTCGCTCTTCTGCTTTTCTCATGCCTCCTACTGTTTTGTTGTTGGCCATAACCGATACGTTATTTGCTATTAACTCCGATGAGATCAAACCATATCTATTGCGCCGCGATATCCCCTGCTTTGTGGCACTTTCTTCTCATTTCTCGCTATTCTTTATGAGCGTTTCCGATCGCCTATCCACTTTCAGTGGGTACTCGGTGGTTGAATGACTATTAGTCTCGGGACGCGTCGCTCATAGTTCTCATAGTTACGCGCCGTCAAGCTGAAACTCAAGTGTTTCCCTGATTGAAGAGTTAAGAAACTACTGGCGTAAATAGCATAGTTAGCACTCTATGCCGTTGGCATGGAGACCGATTTGCAGGAGATCAGCAAGACCCACAATGAGAAACATCGTTGGGCTATGCGGTTTCCCTTTTGTGTTAAGAGCTGGCCTCAGCGACTCCTGAGACAACATTCCCCAATAACAATATCCAGAAGTACATTAGACATGGGTAGCTTAAGTTAGTCAGATCCGGCTTTTGACTAACTGCATTATCCCTCCCATTTACGTGAAATGGTTATACCCGGGCAAGAGTAAGCTAATAGTACCGTCGCCGGATATTGGCGTTTGTCGCTGTCTCAATTCCCGTGATTATGTTAGATTGATCAAATGGGCAAGCAAAATAAGCTTTCTAACGGGGAGGGGGCCAGGAAAACAGGAGCGCACTGAATGCGGGGAAGCGCAGCCTATCCACGTGAAGCAATATGCACGTCCATATAGGATAAACAGAAGGCTATTTAAAATATAAATGTAAAATAACTCCCAAATGGAATTGGTGATATTAATGATGAAATTTTTAAAGAGAATTTCAGGGGTCGCTAGTGACCTTTCAGGGTTTTAGCAGTAGTGTAGGAGAAATTACAACCCATTTCCATTTCAGCTAGTGAGTGCGGTTTTAGGTCCAAATCCACGTCTGGAAGCGCAAAATAGATCAGTTCAGCAAATGCGAAAGGGTTCAAATGGCCCACCTTGGAGCACATAGACACGCCATCTGGACTTTGAAGTGGGCTATGAACGCATTTCACTGGACTGCTTGGGGTCATTTTGGACATCCGAAAAAATTAAGGAAGCGAGCGCTTCCGAGGTGTGTGATAATTCTGATTCTTACCCTACGGTAAAAGTGAGTAGATTTCCCACAATTGCGAAGTTAGCCAGGACTGGGGATAGATGGCACAAAACCACTCAGTGCCAGTACGTGAACAAGTTGATCGATCAAGTGGAAAGAGCCGAGTTGCCTTGTTTACCTAGCTGTGCCTTTTGTGTGGTGATAGAGACGAGTTGCCTGATAAGAGAGGATCAGGCCCTATTGATCTACACGGGAGGCGTTGTGAGGAATGACATGATGCTTCGTGGTGAAGTGCAAAAACAGCTGTCAGAAACCAAACACAAACAGCAATGCAATCACTACCAAAACTTTCTGGTAACATAACGACCCCATTTTAGGACTTGAATACTGTAACAGAGTACCAGTTGCACATGCAGGAAGAATGAAGAAAAAAACAGATTAAATGCTAACGATACCGTCCATGAGGAAAAGAGAACTGACACAATCAAGGGAAGTCAAAATTGGTGTAAGTGAAAATAATAAATAATGAGGACTCACCACCACTAGCATACTCCATAACGAGGTATAGAATTTTCTCGTTGGCAATAATCTCAAAGAGTTTGACGATATTCGGATGGTCAAGCATCTTCATGACTCGCACCTCGCGAAAGAGCTTCTGCCTACTGGAGGGAGAGAGCTGCGTCTTGTCAATAATCTTAATGGCCACCTCCTTGCCCGTGATCACGTGGCAGGCCAGTTTCACCTTGGCAAAATTGCCTTTCCCAATGGTGCGAATGAACTTGTACTTGCCGATCTGGGGCTGGTCACCAGTGCCGATGGTAGAGATCTGGGGTGGGATGCTGGCGGTGGCAGATGCGCCGGTGGAACGGGGGGCGAAGGAGTCGCTGGCAGCACGGCTAGCGGAGGAGCGCGAATGACCCGAGGACGAAACTGTACCATTGGCATAGCGGCTGCTGGTGGTGGTGGTGGCGGTACTGGCGGCGGATGAGTCCACAGTTGTGGCAGGTGGTGCAGCGGGAGACTGAGAGGAGTTTGATGTGACCGTTGTCACTACTGTCTCCGGCTCAGGCTTGAGTAAAACATACATTTTCTGATGAGACAAAGTTTAAAAGAACAATGATGATGCACAGTGTGAGTATAGAGGGAAGGCGAAGTAAAGAACATTGAGATAGTTAAACTAGAAAGGATTGAGATAGAAATCCTTACGGTGTTTGAAAAATTTTCATTCATAGGAGGTAGAGCCATTCCTGCTGACATCACAGCGTTTTATGGGACGAAAAATAAGATGAAAACGACGATTGAATGGAATCCGGGCAGGGCAGAGATCAAAGAAGCACCCTCATTCGATCGAACAACGTCTAACCTTATAATGGTATAGCAAAAGGTCAAAAACATGGCTGCTGAGAACTATTGTTGATGTAAATATGAGCATAATAAGAGGCGAGGAAAAAGAGACATGCCAAAATTTAGGAAAAAAGGTAATGACGTGAAGCTACCAAAATTCGAGATACTGCAATATCACCGGGTGCAGAGAAAATTGGCGACCTCTTATTTGTGCAAAATACTTGTAACAAAATGAATGAACGAACCGGTCGTAACCGATATTAAAAATACGTATGGAATCTTGTAAAGTAGCCGATTAGAAGGAGGGAACGGATAAAGACGACAATCATGATGTCTTATAAGTCGAGACAAGCGACTTCATCTTCATGGGGCAGAAGGTCGAATTATGACAGGAGCATATGATAAGTACGCACCAAGTATAAAAAATCAAAGGTAATGGGACTACAAAATCCTCTCGAGCAATCACGATCCAGGAGAAAGGGGTTTTCCAAAATACAAAGACACTTACGAACCAAAGTAGCGTAAGACAAAAGGGTAATGGTTTAAAGTAGTAACCATTTTACCACCTTCTTCAAATGCTATGAACCAAAAATCCTTGGAATACACGCAAGACAAAGTAATTTTTACGAAAAATGTGAAAATAAGCATCACGTGTATCCCAGCTAGGGAGGAGAAAAAAGTGGCCATTAATAAAACATAATAAAATGCAACCTAGTTAGGTGCAAAGTAGGATAACAAGACTCGCCTCGTAAATACCAATAAACAGTCAAAATAGCATACAAGCAACGAACCAGGGATGCTAATTTAGGGCGCTAAAACAGTGCCGACATGATAGTCAATTCAAACGCTTGCCTCCAATGCCTATTTTTTTATTGTTTTTAAGTTGTTATAAGGTTCGTTAATAAAATAAGCATATACATTTTAGTGTTGTTTTTATTGCGCATGCTCTGTTGTGTACTTTATAAACTTTCGGGGTGGCTGCGTTTTACTGGTTATTCTGTTTTGTCTGTGAGCCTTGATGATTATTGGCCTAGGTTTTTACCATGCTATTTTTGATAATTATGGTCTTGGGTGTTCCAAAGTTGATGTAGTTTTCTATAGGATCCCTTTTGTTTCACTGACATAACTGTGTCGAAATTCGTGACGGTGTTGACTCAGTCCTCAATCCTACATCTTTGGAAGATTATTGACAGTTTCCTGTTGTTAAATGAGTTTGGCGTCATTTTTGTTATTTGCATCAGTTACGTCATGTTATCCTTTTCGGTGCATAGATGACTGTCAAAGTTCATCTCTGTTTCCTACTCCAAAGACGTCGGACTGCACTGATAGCATATTATCGCCTAGTAAGCTATAAGGCTACCTTAAACATTCCCGTTTTCCCCTTTCCGATTGGACTCAGTGGGAAAACTAGTCAGATACGCCAAGGTTTGGTAGTTATTGCTTTAATTCAAAAGACCTAATTATTGGAAATGTGTCGATGACAGATGCAGATTTCATTCTTCACGATGGCCCTCCTTATGCAAATGGTCCTATCCACTTCGGGCACGCGCTAAATAAGGTAAAAGAGACTTCTGTATCATTGCTTTTTAGATCCTCAAGGACTTTGTGGCTAGGTATCAGAAATTAAATGGAAAATCTGTCTCTTTCATTCCCGGTTGGGACTGTCATGGGCTACCCATCGAGTTGATATCTGTCGGACACAATCTGTCATTGCCTCCCACGGAAGTTAGAAGAGCTTGTAAGTTCATTACGAATTTTTACCTCCTCTAGCTCTACAACGTGCCATCCTGTCTATGACTGATCAGCTGGCCGCATTTAAAGAGCTAAACGTTCTCGCTGATTGGAATCGACTGTATTCCACCCTGGATCCATCCTACCAAGCAACCGTGATACGTGCATTTCATGACCTCTACGTGAATGGTTTCATTGTACGTGAACACAAGCCAGTGTATTGGTCGAGAACTACCCGGTTTGTGACTGCTTTTTTCCTTTACGCGTCGCTTTAGATCTGCCATCTCCGACTCTGAACTCGAGTATAACTCTGAACATGAGAGCCCTTCTCTGTACTTTCTTGTGGAATTGTTGATGCAACCTGCATGGATCCCAAGTAAGTGTGGATCCGGTTAAGCAATCCTCCTCCCCCTTCTTAGCTCGGTATCGCAGATACCCCACCGATGTTGTCGTTTGGACCACCACTCCGTGGACAATTGTGGCCAATGAAGCGATCATTTTCAGTCCTTCAGAAGAGTAAATTGCGCACGAGTAGACTATTTTGTCCTCTTAAGATATTCTGTTCTTCTGGACAGGGCGACCGAGAGAAATTTGATTGTGGCAAGCCACTTTGTGCCCTTGCTGTACAAACTACTCGATCGTGCTCCGAGTCGATTTGAGCTTATTAAATCCTTACGAGGTGGTAGGTCGTCCATTTTTAGCTAATAAATTTGTTCTACCCCAGTAATGATGCTTATTTCTTAAAGGCTGCATGCAACTACCGTCTTCCTCTGTGTCTTTCTGACCCTCAATTACATCTCTTGACTACTGTGTAGACCTGGCCATATTGTTGATCTTGGTCCTATTCGTTACTCGTTTATTAATCTAAGGGTAAAGCTTAGTAATCACCCTTTTACGAGCCAAAGGTTAGATCATCTCCGGTTTCTTTTTCAGATAAAAACCGACTTCTTGAATGATTTCCAAATTAAATTATTTTTACTATGTTTATCGAGTCCCTATAAAGTGAATAACTTAATTGGACAAAAATTATAAACGTTTCTGCCTTCCTGTTACTTCTTCCGTATACTTGTAAAGTTATCTTTTTCATCTTTGCAGAATTTTCCTCTAGGACATCTTAACTAGTATTCTTTATCGGTATTCTGGGATTCCAAGTATCGAAGGACCTCAGCCCGTCTCTTGCTCCCTTTTTCCCTGCTTCAGATAGTAATAGAACCGTATGTTTCATCGGCACATCATAGGCTGTAGACGTCATATGACATATTTTGATAACAAGGTGCTGTTGATCGGGTAATATGCAATTTATTCGTGGGTGTCGTTTGCATTGTATTCTGTTGGGACATGCCTTTAACACCCTTAGTGCCGTAGTTTTGTGTGTTGCGAAGGCAAAAAGCGCCACTCCCAAGAAAAACATGTCAGCCACGTGTGCTAGTTTCGCTAAAAACTTCCCAGTCTGCAATGTCTTAACTGCTCCATTCCTGTTGAAAAGCTCATCAATGTCAAACTGGTTGAAGTAGGGATTCATCGCACGAGTTACGTGTCAATCACGCATGCCACGGTATGCCTATTTTCAAAACCGAGTTTTGTGGCATTTACTGATGTAATGTATCAATATGGTAAAAAACACTAGTTGGGGAACTTCACGGCAGTTTTTTTTATTTTCGAGTTTTTCATTCAAAGTGTTTGATTTCATTGCTGTTCACAGGACGTACTTTTCCCGATTGCATGTTGTGGTTGAACTGCTGGCCCATGGCGTCATGGCGATGACATTATTAGCATTGTAAAGGGCTGGTGTTGTTTGGCAAACTATCTCACTAATGTCGGGTATTTTGTGATGCAGGAGCCATTGCTGAAGCCGTAATAAGTCGTACCAATTGGACAGGCGATTCATTGTCTAAGTGCATAAAGGAGTTTCTGGACTAGTAGCTTAGACGTCAAAATGTGCGGTGGCCGAGCTGCGTATGACTGGATTGTTTTTCTTTCATTTCTTTTTTACCCCTTAGAATGCTTCGAAAACTACGCATACGAGCCTCCCCTTAGTCGACAACGGGTTCACCACCCTCACGACTACCGTTGGCGCCACTGCTACCGTCTCATGCCGGGCGAATTCGTGGAGCACGACAAGGGCACAGGTTTTGTACACTGTGCACCGGCCCACGGCAAGGAGGACTTCGATTTTGCTCGGCGCCACAGTCTCCCTCTCGTAGGTGTCATTGTTGCTAACATAATTGGTCATGAAACGTTAAAATTGCTCAATATAAGCAGGGTAATTCTTGGTTTCCTTGTTATCTGTGCCCATTGCATCATGACCTTCTTTTTCCTGTAGACCTCTGCAAGCGCCCTGTTTTGTTCGAATGCAAAGGTTCGGTTTTCATTGTACGTCAGATAAGAAGCTGGATCGCCTGTCTATTGATAATCAATTTCCACCTTAAAATAAGCTAACAATTTCCAGAGGTAGACTTGAATTGACTGGCGTCGAGGTCTAATAGTGGGAGGCTGTTGGCGACGAAGTCTTGATGATGATGGATATTCGGTCTATAATAGGGGAGATTTGCTTTTCCACCTGGGACAAGAGGCTTCGCATCTATTAATCGCACAGTTGAAGCATAAACGACCGCTAATGTGGTTATTACCGTCATAACAACTGCTTAGGCTAGAGGGCTTATATACTCCACGAAATAATCCTACGTCTAGACTTGGTTGCTCATCTGCTGGTGAATATCATGTGCATTTTCAAGTCTGGGCCACTGCGGTCCGAGTACCGAGGCTCGTGAGATCGATATACGGTCGAGCCAGCGCAGTCTTTGTCCCTCTGTCCCAAGCAATCCTGTCATTCGCTTCACGACAAGCTCTCTCATCATGAGCGGGGGTGGTTAGCCACTTGCTGTTGTTAATTTGCAAGATCTCTTAGGATTGTAAATGATGGCCCGACGGGGTATAGCGAAGTGGAGTCCACTGCTCCTCCATACTTCTAGGTTGTTAACTGGAAACACTTGATTCGGATTTGAAGGAGTTTGTTCGATTGTATCTCAGGGAAGAAGTAGGTTTGGCAATGACCATGTCAAATAGATGGTATCCCTTCATTGCCTCTATCTAGTTTAGTGCATTATTTGTCAGACTTTTTACATAAAAATAAACTGTCTAACTTTATGTTCTCCGTGTTTTGGCATCCTCTAGCGAGCATTGGTGGACGCGGAGACGAAATTCACGCGGGAGGCTGGTGCTGATTTGGCCGGACTGTTTGTACAGGACGAGGGCAACTCGGCAGGTATGTTTGACGCTGAACTTCTGTTTCCCTTCCCTTTCTAAATTTGACCTGGCTTCTGCTGTCTGTTTTTTTGAATTTTCGACAGTATCAGCGATCTTTAGTTTTTTTACTGCCCTGTCGGAACAGATGAGTAGTGGGTAGGTATTATCTTATGACTCTCTGGAGCCTCATTAAAATTCCATGGGGATGAACACACATCTCTAATGATACCTTATGCACCACACCTTGCTCTTGCCTGACCACCGAGTTTGTCACCAGTCTAAAAAACACATGTAGTCCCTTTTTTTATGCTCAAGTCCATCGTCACAAATATATGACGTGCTTGTTATCAATTTCGAATAACTGGTTTAAGCAAATGGCGTCACAAACTGGATCTTGGTTTGATGATATGATCGTATCTTCCTGGTTTTTAAAGAGTTGAACCGGTTAAACAAAATTACTGATGGTTGTTGTTCCATTAGATCATTGAGATATTTGGTCTATGATGGTGGTGGCGTGTTAAAATTGTTTACTAAAATCTAATCTGGCCTCTTCGGTGTAGGTAATGCAATTTACGGTGATGCGTTAATGGGTAAGCTTATTCAAGGAGGACTGGCCGTCCCTGTTTTGGTCTCCTGCCCTGGTTTTTCTCCAGTTACTGTCTCCAATTGTCGCTCTCATGATTCACTGTCTCTCTCTCCCCTTTGCAGTGATAAATCGCCTAGGCGATCGAGTTCTTGCTCTGGGCACCATTCAACACAGCTACCCTTATGAATGGCGCACCAAGCAACCGGTCATTACTCGCCTCTCTAAACAGTGGTTCATTAACACGGACAAGCTAGAGGGTCCCGCTAAGGTGGGCGTTTTTTGTTTTCTTAAGCAGAATTTAAAGATGGTCTCCTTACTGAATAATCGAGCTTTATCACCCCTGGCATCTCTATTCCTCCCTTCTTTCTGTGACACCAATGTAGAGGCACGATTTATTGTTATTGTACCGAGGGGCTGGAAGGCCTTATCACGGCCTTCTAGCGATGCCGTCAGGATGGAAGTACAATCTGAGAGGACTGTGAACCCCACGTATTTGTAATACGCATTAAAATAAATATGAAGTCATTACATCACAATGCAGGGAGGTTATGAAGAAGTCATGTATTCACCACGTGAAAGGGTTGAAAGACTAGTTGCATAGGCGATCTGAGCATTGTCCCATGTCAGTTATGTGGAGGCTAAATTGTGGGAAGCCTAAAAGATCCGCATAATATGGCATAAAATCAAAATTTTTTTTTCATACTCATCTGCAGATAGCCTACGCCGACGTGGACGTCTTTCCCCCCGAACGCAAATCCATGATGCAGGCTTTCATTGAGAAGCGTCCCTTCTGGTGTATTTCACGTCAACGTAACTGGGGCGTGCCAATTCCTGCCCTTTTCCACAAGCATCACCACAATCGTGTCCTTGTTGATGGGTAAGACTCCACCCATTTCGCCAATTTGCCTCCTTTTAGAGACTTCATCGAAGCTGTAGCAGAGCGTGTTTCAAAGGAGGGCAGCGAGTTCTGGTGGGACTCAGCGATATCAAACTCACAGCTTATTCCACCTGGATGCTTGGAAAAGGTGAGTTCCCTTTCTCTCTCATGCGTTGATGCCATGTGGACGTGTATAGGCTTTGAAAGTGCGTTTTAACTTCGTGCGTATTTGAGACTTGACTCGATCCCCTCTTGATTTTCTCAGTTATACAAGTGCTTAGTTGTCAGTGAATCAGTCTTACGCTTTTCGTTTGCAATTGTTGTATGTTAATTTGTTAAATTACGGTTGGGTGAAGTCTGGGTCCTTTTTAAAACACAACTGACCAAGTGGAATGAATGTAGAAAGTTAGAAACGTTTTCACTCTTCGCATTGATGGTGATGTGCCATATTGTGTTGATGCGCCTACTCAAGTTTTGCTCAGTCCATTTAGTCCTCTCCACAAGTGAATCAAGTGAAAGAGATGACTTGAGGTCACGATTGTGAGCTAGTGAACGCCGACTTATTCAGTCAAGCTATTTGTGATTTATCAGCAACATCAGTTGTCATTGTTTCAGCTCTATCAGGCTCATATTTTATATTTTTATGCACGTTTATTTGAGCTTTTTAAATTGCCCTCAACTAGGCCTCCGCGATGGCTATTTAGTCTTGCTAGCAACATCCGACCTACCGGTTTTTCGGCTTCTATGTACTTCCTTTGCAGTGTTACTGATTCCACTTGCGTTAAAGGCTTTAATGTAGTGCAGTAGCTCAAAGCGCTTTAATGAACCATTCTGTAGTTCCGAAACTTCTACACCTGGTAATAGAGGTGTGAGGGCAGGAGGAGGGTGAGGAGACTGATGGGCTATGTGGCATGAACAGAGAGCTTTGTGCTACTGTACCACGAGTGACTGAAGATATCCACGCAGTGCCCCGTGTATTCATCATCCGACTACAAAAGGATGGTGCCTGCAGTTCATCGACCCTGTTGGCCGGTCTGAATCAGTTGATTTGCAAGACGGGGCTCAGATCGAATTGAAAATACTGGTTGTAGTGACTACACCATATCCATAAAAGCCGCTAAAATACGTAGCTTTTGTTGCGATTTCGCTCATTTTGTACTACTGATCATGAATATCTGTACCTAGCCCTTGGCAAGTGCTGGCCTGAATTTAAAATATAATCGCTCAAGCATAATTTCATTTGCACTGCTGTGACTCTTTCCCCTCTAGTGGAACCTCACTCCTTGTGCTGCTGATACCGAGTTGATTCGAGGAACGGACATTTTTGATGTGTGGTTCGAATCGGGTCTCTCGTGGCTGGCTGTGTTACCGAAGGATCGTTAGTGCATCGTTTCGCTCTTTCACATCCCTGTTGTGCAACTGTGGAGGTGGTTGAAAAGCTCTCTTTCAATAATTAGGTGTTGCCGATGTCTGCGTGGAGGGTTTGGATCAGTTTCGAGGATGGTTCTCCTCTTCCCTTCTCCTCTCCGTGGCGCTGACTAAAAGAGCTCCTTTCAAGTAAGTTGATTTGCCATCGTAGTAACATCATTTAATGATGATGTTATTTACTGCACATTGCTGCGTTTTGCTGGCATTTCTGTGTCAACTTTTTTGGCATTCATCAATGCGGCCTCTACCTTTGATGTGAAAATCAGAAGCCATTTCTTTTAAATTTACGATTAAGTTAGGGTGCGGATCCCTAATTTCCTCGGAAATATCCTCAAGGGCCGTATCATTTCTTGCCTTAAGGCGTCAATTTAGAAGAGCAAAAAACTTGGCGCAGTTTTCGGTGTAGCCTATCTCAATGCCTTTTATCTTGTAGAGGACTGTAAAATACGTACGATTTTTTGTGTGCCTTAAAGGGAACTACCCTTTCGTTTCACGCTCCTCCTCCTCTTCCCTCTCTCTCAATTGCAGAAGTCTGGTGGTGCACGGCTTTACAGCGGACTCGGAGGGTCGGAAGATGTCCAAGTCCCTGGGCAATGTGCTCTCGCCGCAGGAGGTGCTTAGTGCAACCGGCGGGTGCACCGACGTGCTGCGGCGGTGGGCCGCGGCCTCCAGTCTCGGCACGCGCTCCACCGTCAGCACTAGTTCCTTCAACGCGCACACTGTGGCCTATAAGAAGGTTAGGCATGTCCCCCTTTTTCTTGTTTTTACGTCAGTTCTCATTGTGAGCTGTATTGGCTGCTTTACTGCCAGTGACTTGATCGGGTCTTATTCGTACTCGTCGGAGCATCTGTTGCTATTGTCTTTGCCATTCGCTCTACACTTTACCAATGGTGGAACTGAATTTGTCTTCTCATAAATTCCTTTACACTTACGTTCTTGAAACAGTCGAAGTAGCCTTCCATAAACTGAAAGTTTGTGAATCTGAAGTGTGGCTTGTACTGGGGCATCGTGAGGTCAAAATTGTCCCTTTTCTTCCTCCTTCCTACAGCTGCGCAATATGTTTCGTTTTATGTTGGGCAATGTGCATGACCTCGTGGCAGCAGAAGGCCGTGTAACATCGCCACTGTTAACGGGCTCTTCATCGACATTAGCTACCACAGAGACACTTTCTCTGCTTGACAAGTGGTGTCTCTGTCTGGTCGGAAACTTCTGTGTCAACTGTTTTGAGGTCTACTACCCACAACACCGCTATGAAGGCCTTATTGCGGATTGCGACCAGCTGGTCTCTCGCATCTCTACCACGTACTTTAATGCCGTGAAGGATATGTGAGTTGCCTCGTCTCCGTTTGAGCTATTTAAGTAAGCTTTTGATAAAACTTTTGTCTCATTTTCAATCGTTTTCTTGTTATAAAATGGCTTCATTATTACAGATTCCCCATTGTTTGTTCTATTTAATTTTCCCTTGTCCCTGCTCTGACGCCGTGGAGGGCTTGTTTGCTCTGGTTTCACGGAAATCCTTTACGAAATTCGTGTAGTATTTTAAATAAGTGCATGTTTTTTTCAGTGATCGTTTTTGCAATCTTTAGTAGTATTAAATGATGGAAGAGGCTCCTGGTCTCCATAGTATCTTATTGAGGATAATTCTGATGGTGTATTCGCTATTTCAAGTTAGGTTGTATTGTCATTTCTGGGTGGTAACTAAGGTCTCTCTATTGAGTTCTTCAGTAGTAATCCGGCTTAATTTCATCTCCATTGTTTAACCGACGTTAGCACTGATCCATCATGATTTGAGCCCTTTGGATTTTCTTTGAATGCAAACTCGTACCCCTATGTATATCCGCTTTCGAATCTCATTGCTTAGCGCCTATTTCAAATCAGGAGATGTAATTCATAGTCTCGCTGTTCTAGGCATTGTAGTTAATTCATTGCTCGATTTTCGTTTTCGCCAACTTCAATGATGTGAATCTGACGTGACTCCTCCTGCCTTGATTGGCGGTCAGGTTTTGTTTTGCGGAAATAAGGCCCTTGAATTCCATTTCATTTAAAATATTCTCTTCTTCACCTTTGAGGATGTATGGACTTTCTGCTCTTTAGTTAACTTCTGCTAACGCCCACTATTCCATTTGGGTCCTAATGTTTGACATTTTTAAACGAGTATTTATAAGTTGAACTCTGCTAGCGGACTCAACTGTATCCTCTTTATCACTTTTCCCCTAATCATCTACTCAGGTACATCTTCCTTTGAGCTTCTTGTTTTTTAAAACTGTTTAACACCACGGTAGGGCATAATATAATGCATTGTCTTATTTTAGAAGGGTCACTTTTACTTCTAAACGATTGCATCAGCAAAGCACTACTCATTACTACCTGCACTCTCTCATTACAGACTCTACTGCGACGCCTCAGACAGTGCTGATCGCAGAGCCGTCCAACATACCTTTATTCTCATTACCAAGGTCCTCCGCTACTGTCTCGGCCCTATCCTACCCGATCTCATGGAAGAGGTGGATGCCGCTCTCGGTGTTTCCTCCAATACCATCACTGGGGTAGCACAGCTACTTCTCCCAGCGGCGGTCGAGTGGTCGCGTGACTTTGCTCACTTGCCAGTGGCAGTGGCGCGGGCCTGTGCTCTCCGACAGGCCATTGCCGCCAGACAACGCACCGAAGTTGATGGTGAAGGAGCTCAACTCTGGCCTGGGCCTGCTGAAAACCCTCTCGCTCGATTGCACATTATCTTAGATGAGAACGGGACCGGCGACAAGGGATTTGAGGATCTAAAGGTGACTGTTTGATCCTCCCATGCGCCATTGTTAAAATTTTGTAATTCCGGGGCGTCGGCATGCAGGAATCAAATTTTTGCTACCCTCTCTTTTCTTCCCGTTGCTACATTGATTTAAATGATGTACAGTTTGAAATAAGAGGAAGATGTAGACATCAGTTCTAATGAAACATGGTATTTGGTGATTTGTGATCTCCTGCAACCCCTCATTGCCTAACAGTATTTATGTAGCAATGTGAATTTGTCCTTTAATCGTTGCTTAAAAGATTGTGTGATCCATCGATGCCTCTCTCCCCCATCTGCAGTGTCTCAATGAAGACGTGGACGCAGGGTACAAGTCGGTGCTGTGTAAAATCCTGCGGTGTGCTTCGGTGCGCTTCGGTAGCACATCAGAACGCGCCAACTGCATCGAGCTGTGTCTGGACGACGTGCATGAGGTGGTGAATGGCGAGAAAGTGGAGCTGGACCCGGAGGTTGATTTGCGTCGCTTCACCTGTCTCCTACGCGTGGCGCATGACTCCACCCAATGTCCGCGCTGCCGTCGCTATTGTTCGATCAATAAAGCGCTGTGCGCTCGATGCGCACCGCTGGTGTTGGGCCTGCAACGGGCGTCGCATTGAGGATTATGTGTAGAGCTATGTAAAGATAGATATTTCATACATCGTGATTGCTTAGTGGTGTATTCGAGGAGGGGATAGAGATGTGAAAGCTATCCAAGAGGATAAACGCGGTTTTGGAATCGGTGGAGGAGCAATAACGGGAAGGGGTGCTGGGGCGCGGGTTGGGTCTGGTAGCCCAAGTGAAGTGTTTCGGGTTGCCGATACTCGCTTAAGCTGGCATTGGCCTGTGGCCGTATAGTAGACGTAGATGGAGCTACGACTAGTTTACTTGGGAGATACAGGGCTTGAAGGAGATTAAAGATTGTTGCGTTAGTTCGCTTTTCCACTAGCGCAAGAAGTCAACAAAGGCAGTCAGGGAAAACCTAATCCTCAATCAATGATATGAAACAATGGTTCTTTTAAAATTCCGAGAGTTTGTGGCTGATTGCATAAATTCAAGACTAGCGTAACTTTAACTCATTGACTATTGCCTACACCTCCTCGCATATTGCAGTTTAAGCTTTTTGGAGTAATTATAACTATATTTTGGCATCTTAAAGCAGCTTGAAATTGACATGCGTACGATTCGTTTGTTTATATTGCTTGTTAAATTGACCGCAAGTTGTCAATTCCTTTGGAAAATGGATGGGAGTGGGCGGTACTCGCGTTCGTGGAAGTGCCAAATCTCTGTTGGAGAACTTTACAGATGGATATTAGCTAAACTGTCAGACAAAGATATTAAACGTGCTCTTCACAAGTACAGAGACCTCATGCCTCGTCAATCTGACTGGAACCGTAAACTTACTCAGGCAACCAATATTCCCGAGTTGGGTTTCCGCTACCTCTATCGCTGTGGACAAATAGATGAAACTAACCACCGGACAATGCAGAAAATGCTTAAGTACATCGACCGTCAGGATGTTTTGCCCTACTTCGACACAATTTTATATAATACGAATAATGCTAATTGTTCCATAGAAGAACTGCAAAAATGTATTTTCTTTTTCTATTTCTGTTATATTTGATCTTTAGCGTTGCTTGATAGAGTTGATGTTTTTCTAAAGTCTTCCACTGCACTTACTGAGGATGAGGTCCACCCTGATCTACCATACGATATTCATCAGTGTCAACCTCTTGTGGATCGCAGACTGACCAGGTAATTTTGTTACCTAGCATATTATTTCGTCTGCAATTTGAAATTTTATAGAGATTATTTATGCCCAGATTCTGTATGAAGCACTTCATCAGTATTTTCGGTAATGGGTGAGCGTAGTCTTCTGACTGCGCATACTTTCTCATATCACTTATGTTCTGGTAGTGTTGTGTAACTAGAGACGACCTTGGTGTAGTTTTGACATTTATGCTATTTTAACCTGGCAGTTTCTATTTATTTTTGACCATTATTTGGTTTGATTTTTTTTCTTTGCATTCTTCAGCTAGTTAGTTGTCCGCAAGTAATGTTCGAATAAATTGAGTCTTTGGCAAATGTCTCACGTAAACTGCTGTCTCATTGGCCGAAAGTTTATACGACTTATCACTGGGCCCCAGTGCCTTAAAATTGGCGTGTGGAGTTTAAGGGATGGGCATTGTTGGGCTAGTCTTTCGCTCATCGGTGTTTAACTACCCATGTCCACATTGTTCTGTCTAATGGATGAACTATTCTCATTACTTGCCCACTCATCCGCAGACTTTAAACCTGGCCACGTGATGAATTGCGTTAATCTTGTTTTGTCGTCGTGATATGCTCATGTTCTGTTCTATTTTATTTCTTCCAGGTGCACATGATTATTTACTGTAAACAGATGATTAACTGTGAGTTATTTTAATGACATAGATCGCTGAGTAAACGAAAATCTTCTGAGGGGCCCCTGCAATGCGTAACTATGGCGAAGCGTCCTCGTCGCAGCTCTATATCTCTTCTGTCCTCATCCTCAGGCGAGATTCCAGGGACCTCTTCAAGTTCTTCATCCTTAGATAAGTCTCTGATGCACGATCTGGTCAAGAGCTGTTGTGGCCAGGTGCACTCGGCCATAATGGCTTACACTCTAGCTGGTCCATCCATGCAAACGATTCTCAATGCCTCTCTTGTCAGCATGCTCGCTGTTCTCCACTTCACCCTCTCTCAGTCCTTTGGTTCAGCCAACCAGCCAAATACCTTATCTATCGCCTCAACCTCCCCTTACGCCATCCCGGTGCTCACCACCAATACAAACCAACTCCTAGCCCCCAACGCCACCGCTGTGCTCCACGCCCCCGGTGCTCTCTCTCACTCCCGTCTCCTCGCTGCAATGCCTCATCTAGTCTCCATGGTGCGGCTGCACATGTCCTCCTTCGCCTACCCCCTCCGCATTCCTCAAAGCCTTCGGCCTGCTGCGGAGCCACCCGCTCCTCAGTTGCCTTTGCATCATCCCACTCTCACGGTATCTCAGAGCGGTGACCTCTTCCAGCGTCGGATCCTGCTCACTGGGGGAGTAGGTATCACGGCCTCGGCGAATGATTCGTGCATCCACTGCTACTGTCGCATCCGACTTCGTATTAAAATTGATATCGGTGCCTCACGGGACGCGCTGGTGAGTTGTCGTCAATTTTTGTGCCAGGGTGATTCACGCGAGTGTCTATTGTTTTTCGTCTTTTCCCCGTAGAGCCTGATTCACGTGGATCGACCTGACCCCTTCACCCGTCAGGTCGACATGTTCTTGCAGGCCTCCAACCTCCTTCGCTCCCGCTGTCCTAATGAGTATATCTGCAGCCTACGATTCAACCGACTCCATCATCTGGAGGCCTTCTGGCATGATTATACAACTGGTGTGCTTAGAAGAGTAAGTGTTAATTTACAGCGCTTTGACTCATTCTTGATGAAGAAAAGGTTATTATCAACGCTCCGAGGCCCGGGAGTCTATTGGCTTTAACAGGGAACTACGACCGATTGAAGAGTCCGTGTATGTGTGATTAATAACGTATTTGTGCGAAATTAGATTTACTACCTGCAATCATTCTCTTGAGCCACGCGTCTGGCGCCTATCATGTTCACATCTCGACCATAACGAGGCTTCATGTTATTTAAGATTAACCGCGAAACAGGGAATATGGTGATATGGCGAGTTTGTATCGTGGTGTGAATGCTACCTATTAGTGACAGCATGCAGCTGGAATTCCGGAGTACTACTTCCTCTGTAAGACAAATTGATTCATGCTTCTCAGGGCTAGAAGACACTCTTAAATGATCATATCCTGTTTGCCGATTGTTTTACGTAGTATACTAAGGAAGGGGATATCATGTTGCGGCTTCGATTCTCTGGATGAAGTCTTGGGATCTATGAGTTACATTATTCTAAACTGTATGTTCACGTATACCCTTCAAATGTTGAATGTCCTAGCTTCCAAGGCACAATGTATTCCCTTGGCCTCAATAGCTTAAAAGCGAAGTGACGACAAGACATACGTCGAACCACGTGTTCATCACGTTCAACTCGCATATGTACATCCAAACAGCAGATGTGGTATGAAGCAGGGTGAACTCGACACGGCAATAATGAGCTGAGCAGGAGGATTGATTAGAAATTGGAATAGAGAAGAGACAATTGCACAAAATGCATGGAAATTACTAGCAATAATTTACAGATTGGGTCTCTTGGATGTTTGCAGCACTACTCGGGAGTTGCTGGCTTGGTTGGTGTCAGCCAAGGTCTCAGTTTTGACACACTGAAGGTCATTTAATTCGCATATTTTCGAGAATACATTTGTTTAAGAGGAGGACTAAGGAGTAACGTGAGACTTGTCAATGTTTGGTATCAGTCACCTAGTTGCGCATTGTCTGAAACAGGCTGTGTTCAGTGTCTAAGGTTTAATGTATTTCTACTTCTCGCAGGTACTATGGTTGTTGTATCTTTTGATGCTTACTTACGCCGTAGCTTGCAGTCGTGTGCATACGAGAATGTGTGCGAGTGAAGTAGTGCGATTTGTAGGTGAGATCTGGTCCAGTCGTGTTCACATTGCTGGATTTAAAATGCGCGTCTCTCACTGGTATGTCTATCAAATACCTCCATTTAGCCATGTCTCACTCCAAAATTATAGAGTTGTACTTTCCAGGGCATTATCAAAGTTCGGTTCTTCTGGTAGACTAGTGATGTACATTTCAATCCCCACATATTTAGTCAAATGACATCCAGGTTTCCGAACCAGCAGTGAGTTTGGCGTACGAATTAATTGGGACGCTTTTTATTCTGGCCAGATAATCATGGCAAATCTGCTGCATCCAGAAACTCATAGTCTAGTGGGTTTGGGTTCTTGGGCATTGAGTGACGACAGCCCTATCCCGAGCAGCACAACAGACGCCACGGAAAGGTCTAATAGACGTGGAGATGCGGGATCGTCGTCTTCACGCCAATCGCGTCGAGTCCGGGTTTCACGTAGTCGCTCTTCGTCCTCACGAGCATCGGAGGCGGAAATGGGGGATTCAGCCGTCCCTGCATCAGTACCATCAGCGTTGGCTATGTCGCAGCACGCACCACTGGAGTCGCTTCGACGGGCACTCCTGTCAGTGCGTCGTCATTTATTCCACCTCTCCATTGTGGAGCCACAATCGGCCGTGCCACTACAACAACCGGGCCAGCAGCATCAGGATCCACCACCGCCACCAGCACATCCACAGCACCAACAGCCTGTCCTCCCCGCCGGTGATTTTGATCTCTTCCTCTTTGTGTCTCGCCGTGAGTACGAAAACTCGCGGCTCCTGTTGATGCGAAATGAGCGAACCATTCCTAGCCTTTGCCGGCTTGTGGCTGCTTCCCAGTTCATGCCCTCCCCCTCGGCTACAGCGACAGCCGCGGCTGCTCCTGTTTCATCCCCCTCTGACAGATCCCCTCAGGGCCACCCATCTTCTCCTTAATTTTACTCTCTGTGTGAGTGTTTTTTTTGAATCTTTTTTTATTTGAATACAATTGATGTTTAAATTTACGCTGCTTTTTAAAATCCAAATCTTCTTTTTGAAGTTTTGCCCCCCCCCCCTCCCGTT